ATGAATCAGTCGTGGCTATACACAACCGGTACTCTGAGACAACGCCATACTGTGTGGAAGTGTACAGTGGAATCAGGATAGAGCGGTACCACGTCAACACGGCACCACATGAATTATTCGATTGATATTTTGAAGTGAGTGAGTGAGTATGTTTTTACGCCGCTTTTAGCAATATTCCAGCAATATCACGGCGGGGAGACACCAGAAATGGGCTTCACACATTGTACCCATGTCGGGAATCGAACCCGGGTCTTCGGCGTGACGAGCGAACGCTTTAACCACTAGGCTACCCGACCGCCCCCATGTTGAAGTGAATATGGAGAGCAAACCTAATTTTACAATTCAACATGTATATATTTCTTCAACACAAACAGAAAATAATCTCCTCACAAATAAGATGACACGCCGCGATATAACTGGAATACTGTTAAAAGCGGCGTTAAACCAAACTCACTCACTCATTTTACTTCTCACGGATGCTTAAGGTGTGTTTTGTTTCAGACATCATAGCGACTGTCGTTTAATGGCGACTGCATGAGTGCAGGTTACCGGCTTCTAATCCTTCACAGCCACATCGTTATGTTGTCCTTTGGCACAGAAGCTGGCTCAGGTACCATAGCAACGGATAGCAAAGAAGTTGTCATCCATACAACTCGCTTGTTATTTTGTAATTATTAAAGCCCCAGAGGTTTCGGTTTAATCCCACGTCTAATTTAGAACCAGGGACATTCTCATTAAAATCAGATCTTAGTTCTCGCTGTTTATCGGCAATCTCATTAAAATCAGATCTTAGTTCTCGCTGATTAGCGGTAACGAGAACTAAGATTTGATTTTAATGAGATTGGAACCGGGAAGCATTTTGGAGACCGGGTGCCTATTAGATATCCTGTGCCTGTTGGAATTCTGGCGTCTCTTGGAAACCCGGCGTGTCTTTGACTGTGTGAGATCTGTGTGAGATCACGAATTTGGGAAATACTCAAATCTGATTGGTGAGTCAGAGGTATCAAATAGCCACCTCGGAAATAGCCGATTTGACGACCGCATCACGGCAGAAGATAATATGACTAGAAAAGTACTACATTGGCGGTAGGTATTATTTTGATTAATCATGTGTGCAATAATGGATAATCAAACTTTCAACACATTTTCATGCAGACATCCCCTCGACTTTAACGTCATGATTTACGATTTGCACGAGCATGTTCATGTACTGCGCACAATTTAGAGGTTTGCGTATTTATTGGGAGAATGATACTCACACACGTGTTTTTGGATTGTTTGGCTATCAGAAAAAACTGCTTATAAAAAACCCGTAAATTACGCAAAAGCAATGCAACGGCTGGCTGAAAACCAGCGTATACGCGCCGTGGGTATGCTGCAAACAGGAATGGCACAAAACGATGTTTCCAGTACTCATGACATTCCACGGGCCGGTCGTCCACGTGTGACGTCACGTCAACAAGACAACCATATTCGGTTGGTGCATCTACGGAATCGATACAAAACTGCGCCATTCAATCCACCATGAATTACTCCATTCTGATAGTTCAACAAGAGGTCATTTTCCCCTGGCAAGAGTGTCCACTAGCCTATATCCCTACAGTTTCACCCTCACCCTTGCTTCCACCGCGCAAACAAAGATGGTACACTCACCTCAGACAAGACACTTAAAACATCCTACACCTTGACAGCAAAGATACAATTTGATGATTGATTGATTTTTAGAAAGTTTTATAGGTGTTCGGGCAACTAGGCCCATGTACACCTTGCCCATAATAAAGGTTTGCTAAGTACCTAGATAGTTCATAGAGTAGTGAAACTGCAACACGCTGTAGGTTAGGAGTTAAGAATGTCTCCTGAAGACAAAACATCTGGGTCAAAACTTAATACAAACTTTAAATCCTGGACCGTTAGCACTGAGTGATCTAGCATCAAGAGATCCATAAGAAGGATGAATTAAGACTTCCATTGTTGACCCTTAACCATGCTCGTCAGATCATCAGGGGACAATCTTAACCCCAAGAGGGACTGGGCAGCTGACGCTATCGTCTGAAGACCATCAGACTTGAATGCACGAGTAGTGCCAAGATTAGCAACTATACAAATAACAAAGTTGAGAAAGTCAACAGGAGAGACATTGTTAAATAGAGGTTTGCAAGATGATTCAGGCATGATGTCAACAACAGGATCAGTCTGACATTCAACTTCAAGAGTCTCAGTCTGAGTACTAGCAGTCACCATGACTGGAGAAGACACAACATCTAAAATTGTAACAACTTGAGACAGTGGTTTAGCTGCAGGAGGTGGTTTAGGGACTGCTGGAACCTGAGCGACATCAAAATCTCCACGCACCTGTCGAACAGCCTGAGAATAAGACAACTTACCCTCCACTCGGACTTTCTGAATCTGGACAGCTTCCTGGTATTTAATGCAACCTTTATATGCCGCAGAGTGTGCGCCACCACAGTTCTTACATTTAAGGGAACTTTCATTGCACTCCTCGTATTTGTGCTTCCCTCCACATTTAGCGCACACATGATGAGTGCTTCTACACTTAGCAGAGACATGCCCAAAGGACTGACACTTGAAGCATCGAAGAGCAGGAGGAACATATATCCGGATTGGAAATCTCTGGAAGAAAATGACAACATGATCCGGTAAAGACTGGCCAGTAAATGTAAGAAGAACAGATTTGGTGGGAACTTTATCAGGCCCACGAGTCAGACGCACAGCAGAGCACATTAGAGGTAACACAAGTTCTGTGACTTGCAAAAGTGTTTTGGCAGCCTCAACGGTTTTTGCAGTGACACTAACATCTCCCCTGGCCATCCGCTTAACACTGACTATTTCTGTAGTGATCTTAGCCAAGGCTCTAGCCAAAGCACGCTGTGTCATAAGTTGACAGAGGGTCGGTGAACCATCATCATATTCATCTACATCGGCTTTGAAGATAACAGTGGTTGATTTGACCCGCGCTGGCTCATCAAAGACAAAAGTAAGATCAGACCTTGCAGTAGGAGGGACAGTATTTGGTTGCTTGGCAACACAGGCTTTTTTAGAAGTACCATCTGGAATACGGCCGATTCGCTTCCTCCCTGAAGCCACCACTTTAAATCCTTCCTCACATTCCATTCTGTTGTCAGCCATTGTCGAGGACAATCCCCAACAACTGACTGTAACAATCAGCAAACACCAAATAGAAATTAAAAGTTTGAATGCACTCCAACACAAGAGAAATCAAAAGCCAAAGAACAAAAGAGGAAGTATCAGAAACAATAAGTGTGTTGTATAACACTAGACAAGTTGCTGAGAAGCAAAAGACGTCCGAACTCGACGGCAGTCAAGACCGAACTCTACAATTTGATGGATAACAACTTCTTTAATACTGTGAAAAGCGACGTTTCGGTATAGATCCTTATACCGTTGTCAAGCAAGACTGAAGGGACATAGTACAGAATATATATAGTAGGTGGAGGTTTAACAGTAGAGGATATATATTGACGACCAAAAGAAACCTTGCCACTTTAGATATGAAATAGCAATAATTAAAAGCAACAGGTTCAAACTACATCAATGCAAAACACATCGTCCAAACACAACAATGCTCTTTACATAAAGTGAAACACATCCCTGGCACGTTTTTCTGTTAAGATAGTACGACAACGTGAAAAGCACGTGCCGCTTGGGCAGCCGAAACTTCACGTGCAATATATAAATGATACAGCGCCATGTGAGACACTGACACTGATAAAAAAGTAACACCACTGAAATGCAGCGACTCACACCGGAACAACGAGGGCGGGCCCTTGATGTATGATGCAGATGGGAGCCACCCATGCTCACATTGTTAGAACTTTTGATTGCCCAGTGTTGCCGTAACTAATGTGATGCAACGAGACAGGGTAGACATCAGACAGGCCAAGAACAGGCATACCCAGGGTAACTACACCCAATGAAGACCGGTACTTGCGTACTTGGCATCTCCGGAATCGATTCTTGACTGCGACGTAATCAGCGACAAATGCCTTAGGTCATATGGGTAATCGACAGACAGTGGCCAGGAGACTCCGGGCTCTAGCAATTAGGGCTGAAAGACACAGAATAGTTATTGACAGCGCAACATCTTCACCAGAGATTGAGATGGGCCCGGACTGGCAGAAGGTCTTCTCCACTGATGAGAGCCGGTTCCGTCGGTCGGAGCTGATGGAAGACCGACGTGTTTACTGCTGAAGGGGGGATCGAACGTCGGCATGTTGCTTTCAGGAGGTCGTGCCGTGTGATGGTCGGGGTGTCATGATGTTGGGAGGAATTTGTGAGCAGGAGATCATTTCAATCACGAAAATTTTGACAGCTCAGCGTTACATGGGTGACATTCTTCGTCCAATTGTCCTCAGTGTATTGGCGACCCGGCGTCTATAGATATGAGAACTGGTATCTATTGGAGATTCCGCGTCTATTAGAGGAAATACGGTATATATACAGTAACTGTCTCTCAACCTACTATTAATAGGCTCTCTGTATCCACTTTTGCTGGGGCGTGATCAAATAAATTATATTGATCAATTTCATAAACTGTTTGTTGGAAAGATATTTATAAGAACGTTCTGCAATAAACTATTGTAAAACTATTACGAAACCGATAACTGGTAATCAGTTGTTCCAAGGGAATTTGACAGAATAAACATATCGGGCAGTTCTTATTTGTATTTCACACAGAACCCTTTCTCACATACCACTCCTTTTACTAAAGTAAACAATATGGGAAAGATCTATATGGCTCGAATTCGAATAATTTAATCATTACATCGTCATAACTATGTAAGTAATGCCTCTGTATAGACCTAAAACAACTTACACAATAAACAGCACAGAAACAAGCTTTATTACGTTGCTTTGAAATCATCAATTTAAACAAACAGGATGTCGACACGAAACACACACAACTGGGGTTGCCCATAGGATTAACCGTCGATCAGTTGTTTGACAAATAGTATGCGAGCAGTCGGCGGTAGAATGTCATGAAAACTACCGAAGACAGTAAACAACTACGAGATATATTGCTCTCAAATAAAAGTGCGGTAACAGTGGTCGTCTAACTGTGTCTGTTTCAAAATGCCGGACATAGAGAAGTTACACCTCGAAGAGGCACTGGAAGACAGCCCTCAGGTATTTAGTTTAATTGATTGAAATCGACATGCTACCGAGTGGGAGTGACCCCAACTTGTCGGTGCGGTTGTCAATATCCAGACCTGTCAGATTTTACCCCTTAATGGAAGGAGGTCTTTGTACATATGTGTGCATAACGCCCGTGTCGGATACAATTATCTTTTCGGGCAAAATTAACTGAGGTATATTTCTTTCAGATCTGTATTTGCTTTCAATCCGTATAAACAGGTGCTCATTTCTTGACATAAACATTGGACTTCTCTGGAGCTAATCTGAGTCACCGGTACGATATAGGCCTATATATATATCAGTTGTCTCTCTTGTGTAAAGTCAGCATATGTGGGGATAAAGATTGTGTTTGCATGGCTCATTGAACATGTAATTACATACAGTCAAAACTATGCATGTGTTAGGTGAGTCACAGGGTATCATCTTCAAAGTACGTCCATAATTCATTGGTCCCATTCATGGATGACATACTGCATGCAAGCCATAAAGATTATTTAATACAGTACATGTAACCTCTGTCTATGATCATGATGATACAATTGAAGTAACATTTATGTAATTTTTATTGATTGATTCAACCGACAGTGTGGCGTTGCATTCCTCACTTCCTGACCAGCTGCCATGCAATGGCTCAGTGCATTTTCAACAATGCATTAAATTCATGATGATTTGGTCTGAATATTCTGTGTGACTGTAACCACAGTTACAATGTCGGTCTTACGTTTTTAGATATTTTTGATTATATACAAGATTTGTCTGAACGGGAATGTAAACTTTGGAGTTAATCTGGGGTCATTGAACTTTTTAAAGTTTTAAAGTGCATGTTTTTGTTGCAGTTTAAACAAATATGGATTTAACGTAACATAGGCTCTACTTTTGTGTTTGAGTCATTTGACTTGTGAAAGAGTCTAAAGGTTGGTCTTGTGCTGATGAAGTCAATCCAACATTTGTTTCTTTTACCAGCAAGGTTGACAGTTTCGCTCTGAGCCCTCTCCCTGTCAATACAGTTTTCTATTACCTTGATTACTGGATAAGTATGTTACATGACTTCCTTCAAACACTTTTTCCTTATAACTATTTTACTATTGATTTTCCAACAGGAAACAGTCATGAATTATTAGTGAGAGAATACACTAGAGTCTACAGACATAATAACTTGTACAAGATGTTCCACATACTAAAGCGTTTTAAAAAAAAGGGACATTTACTCTTAAACAATGTATAAATATGCTATATTAGACATAAAATGCATTTGACTTTGGGCTCTTGTGGGAATTCTTGGACTGAATAGTTAAGAGCTATAAAGATATGAGTTGTCACATTATGATATATGTAATCATGGTAGTACCAACACTAGACTACCGCTTAGTCTCTGAAAATATATCATTTTGATAGAAACAACCAACTCCATTAAAATTTAAAAGAGCCTCAATGAGATGGGGGATTCAGCCTGTGGGAAATCTAGACTTGCATTATTTAGGGCCACTGCATCACAGTAAGGGCTGGGCGGAAGGGGAAATTCACGACTGTGAGACAGACTACCGTATTCGACGTAATAAGCGCCCCGCTCTAATAAGCGCCCACAGCATTATTTGCTAATATTGGCCAATGAACAATCCTAATTAGCACCCCTTCCGATTGACCAATGTACCCAAGACTTATTTATTCGCCTATAATACACACTCATGTGTTATATGCACACTTAATTATGGGCAATTAAGTTCTGGAAAACTATATCTGTTGTACATAAACATTTCAGGCTGTCAGCATAAACCACGAAATTTATCTTTTAACTCTGTTTTTTTCACTAAAATAATATTCTAATAAGAGCCCCCTATTTCTAATTGTGAGTGCGCCCTGGGCGCTTATTACGTCGAATAGGGTATACCAACAATAGAGGACTTGTTTCATTATCAAGTGGAATTATGAATAGAACCGCAACCACACCATTTTGATTAGATCTGAGTTTATTGATCAAAAAGTAGCTTGAGATTTTTTGTTGTCACTCAGCAGTATTCCAACCATATGACAACAGCCTGAAAATAAACTATTCTGGACCAGGAAATCCAGTAATTGATTGCGTGAGCATCACTCTACGCCATCAGGGTAAGATGACACGTTGTAAATCAAGTCGCAAGCCTGACCACCTGGTCCTCTAAATGTTTTCAAAACTCAGAATCCTCATGGGCTGTTGGCATGGGATGCAAGCTTCAAAATCATTGCATCTGTATGTGTTATAATCTATGGGTGAAACTAACAGTGGTGCATTGATATCTATTGATTGTTTTGTTCTGGAAGTAACATCTTGAATGAGTAGTGAGAGAACATGTTGACAACAGCTGTTACTTGTATTGAATTCACGACACATTCCATTACAATGACAAATCTTAAACATATATACAGTAAATAATATAAAAGCTGACAAGATTTTCCACTACAATAACATTGACAAATCTTAGACATATATATGTATACATCTTCCCGGTGTAAGGGTGTTAACTGACTATAAAAGTCAAGGTTCCACCCTGCCGAATTAGGCTGGAATTTCTGGGCTTGATCATAGTGCCACCAGTGGCTATTACAAGTTATGTCCCTGCTATGCCCCTCCTATTGACCAATCGGATTCCAGCTAGCATATTACTTGCAAATGCTTCCAACAAAATGGCGGCGCACAGTCAAGACAATCTGATCAATGATCAAGATCCATATTGTAATAAAATGGGTCTTACTTCGCGAAGTGCGTCAAATCATTTGAGCACCTTGATTAAACGCAAGAAAAGATTTGGAAAATATCTGTTGATGCCCAGTTGATGGTACACATCCTTTGCAAATCCTACAATCAACCGAAAAATGCACGTTGAAATCCATGTTGTATACGAACCGGATGTCTGTTCTGTCACATGATTTTGATTGGACTATGCATAGATTTATTAGTCCAGCCAAATATAACTCCATAAACCCAGCCTAGTTCGGCAGGGGTGGAAACTTGACTTTTACAGTCAGTGAACTCCCTTGCCTCGGGGAGATGATATATATAGAATAAGACTGACAACACATTCCACTACATTAAATACCTTAAACATATTTAGTTTATAGTCATAAAATACAATGTACACTCAAGGTTCAGTGGAAAATTGACAGACGTATTGATATTACAAATCTGGAAGAAAATTGATTTATCTCCTATGTGCAGGGAATACTGCATTGGTCATTTCCAACTTGACACATTTGGCATTGGAGGTCTAAGTAAAATAACCAGATTTTTTGGAGAAAGCAACTAGTCAATGATTTTCCCTAGTGTGGTGAGGTGACTTTCAAATTAAGACACAAAGGTTAACCCAGAAATAGGTATGTAGAGAACTAAATTGTGAAAGCAGTAAATAACCACACAAGATCAATGACTAATCAACAAATTGGATTGAAATACACAGTTTTAGGTTCACAGTCAAAACAGGCAATACAATGAGTCAAATGGTAGACCCTGGGATATGTTAGTGCAGTCATGAATGTCCAACATGAGGTCACTGTTGAAAGTCTTGCAACATGCTTCAAGCAATCAAGCCTTTCATGTTTGTCAACAACTGGGGGCAGTAACGGATTTCTGCTCACTCGCTCCCTCTGACAGCCCTTGATATTTTACGAGGGCTTCAATCATTTTCTGCCACTGACACAAAGACATGCAACAAGCCCTACTGCCCCATAACCATGATAACACAGATAACAATGCAGTAAACTGGTCTCCACTCTGTAGATGTTTTTTTGTGAAAAATACTGGTACATTGTAACAGTGTTTCCGTTTACTGGTAATTACCAGTCTTTTACCCGTAGGCTTTGACTGGTAATTCTTGTGACTGTCAGTCCCTCTGGACTGGCGAAAAAGGTATCTCATAAATCTTTGTTGTTGTACAAAACATTATCAATAGTTAAACAAGTATATTTTTCAAACAAAGTCAGCTTGTCTGTTTCCCGTTGTCTATTTGTAGTGCAAGGAAATAATATTTTGCATTGCTTCAAGGTTTAATATTTTTTTGAAGTGACTTCAATCAAAGTGAAATATTCAGATGAAAAGAGAAAATTGTGATTGAACTTTGTTTAAATGACGTGTAGATCTGAATAGGTTACTTCAGGAATGACGTCACTGAATTTATCAGCCATGAAAGTACACTGGTTTGAAAATGATGTTGAAAGAATTTAAACCAGGTAATTTTCATACCATTTTTGTTTGTTCAAAGTTTGGGACTGACAAATATTGGGTGGGACTGATAATTTTTATAGTTGGCAGTTGGGACTGGCAGTTTCAATAGCCAGTGGGAACACTGATTTGATGATTTAGCCACCCGTGTTTATGATTTTGTTGTGTTGCAGACACGGAGTCTCCTGTCAGTGTTTGAGAAAGATGCGATGATTCTGAAGAAGTACACCAGCAATTTGCACAGCTGTTGTCAGAGAGTCATGTCTGCCCAGGTGAGCTTCTTCACATTATTTGCTAGCCAGTTGATTCTGATTTTTTTCACTTCTGATAGGGGATGGAAATTGGAGGTACATGGGTAGCTCAATCATCTGAGGTACTGTTATTTTGCTGTGCAGAGTTACGTCCCTTAGGCATGCCAGGAATCTATCATTGTGGGATCGAATGTTTGATTTGCCCCAATTTCTTGGGTTGTGAGCGCCATACCCGTGCTATGGGTTTCTGTTTGTTTGTTGTTTAGCGCCACCCTCAGCAATATTCCGGTTATATGACGCCGGTCTGTAAATAATCAAGTCTGGACCAGACAATCTAGTGATTGACATCATGAGCATCAATTCACGCAACTGGGATATGATGACATGCATCAACCAAGCCACGAGCTTGACCCCTGATCCCGTTAGTCACCTTTTACGGCAAGCATGGGTTGGTGAAGACCTATTCTACCCCAGATCTTCACGGATCTTCACAGATCTTCACGGATCTCATGGTTTTGTAAAACCTGCATCACAACAGGCTAGTATAAGTAGTCACATATACATGCGTGCATGTTGCTATATAAGTGCAATAATCTTGAATGTGACGTTACACCTCACCTCCCTGCTTACACTGATAAGCCAATAACCTCGAGGCAACTACTAAACTAGCCCGGACGTGTTCTAGCATTATTTGTTTATATGTATTATGGTACATTTTACTCTCAACATGTGGACTCTTATCATGTAGTAATCATTAGCCAACTGAAAGAAATACTTTCTACTTCTTGTAGACCTAGGGGCCTGTTGATAAGTAATGTCAATATCGATTTTTTTGTCTGATGACACTCTCGAGAGCATTACAGACAATATTTTATGGTACACAATACAATTTATGTATGTTAAATCATTGTAGCATGGGTTGGATATCCTACTTTGATACAAGGACTTTCTACAAGAAACAACATTGTTGACAAGATGTTAAATATTTTAATTAAAGTTGGACTTAATAAATCTTATAATTCCAATGTGTAATTGTATTTGTAATAATATACCCTATTTGTGTATTGAGACAATTTAGATACATTCATGTTTTGTTCTGCCAGTGACAGCTCTTAGAGTTTTGTTTTGTGTGTTTGTTGTTTAACGCTGCACTCAGCAATATTCCAGCTATATAATGGCGGTCTGTAAATAATCAAGTCTGGACCAGACAATCCATGAGCATTGGTCCACACAATGGGAAAAGATGACAGGCATCAATCAAGTCAGCGATAGCTCTTAGATGTTTTTGACATATCCATGACCCCAGGGGCCATAGGTGGCCCAGTCCTTTATGCTGCCACAATTGCTGTGCAGAGTTGCCTCCCCCTGGTGTGCCAGGATCTTATGATCATTGGAATTGCCTGATCATGTTTCTAGGTTTGACAGCACCATACCTGTGCTTGTGGATTTTTCCAAGTGTTAAACATCTAAAACATGCATCACCTCTGGCTTTCCTTCCACATCAATCTGACACGCTGTCATATATCCCACTCACTCACTCAGTCTTATCTCTGCAGAATGAGCTGTGTGCAGCAACTCAAGCCCTCGCTCAACAGCTCCGAACATATGAAGTGCAGGTAAGTCAAATACTGAGGCCACACTTGGTTTACAGATTTCTAGTCAACAAATTAGATTGGGTCTCTCAAGTAAATATAGAATTATGTTAGTAAAAAAATAATAGAAATTCTGTAAAGTGCTGGAGTGAGGCCACACTTTTTTTCCTTGCTTTACAGATCTGCTGTGTATATTTAGTTGCAATGGAAAAAAATAAATTCAGACTTTTCTCTTCTTTTTTCCCCGTCCGATTAACTGATAGCATTTTGCACGTAAAAATATTTTCTAATGAAGGACCCACTAATCTGTAAATCAATTAAAAAAAAATGTGGCCTATCAAGGCTTTGGTCTCTTTATATATGTGTAACATGTGTGGAGTGGTCAGAACCTATCATAATGCATTTTCTCAAAATAATCAAACATTAAGCTAATATTTTATTTGGTTCATTTTTCTGATAGACTGTTTTTGTTTTTCTTATCCATCAAAGCTAGTTTATAGAGCAGCCATCAAACTAAAATTGAGTTAAACTATGTTTACTCTTTTTTTTTTTAATGTGACTTTTCAGATGAATCTGCAAACCAAAAAATAGAAAAGGGTCACCTGAATAGTTCAAATGTTCTCTTAGGCTTAGTGATTTTCGAAAAAAACATACCAAATTCATCCTTGTCAATTTACCAAAGAAATATCTAAGGAATAAGCCATGTGTGCTCTTTCCCAAAAAATAGAGGCCCACAGGGGTGTCCCAGTCATCTGTTATGTGCTGCAATGTTAGTTATGCAGAGTGGCCTCCCTTTGGTGTGCCAGGAACCTTTGATCGTGGGTTCGTATCCGAGATTCACCCTGATTATGTTTCCAGGTTTGCAGGACCATTCCTATGATACCTGCCCTTGTGGGTTTCCCTGAAGTGCTAAATTTGCAAGCTGACACTCTGTGATATAACTGAAATACTGCTCAATGTGTTGTTGATCCCAACTAACTCACTCACACAAATTTGTGTATTGCATGTTTATGTATCATGATGTATATATTTCAGTTGTTTGTTTCAGAAATTCCCCCTGGAAAGTGAAAACAGTATTCTGACGACAACTCTAAATCAGTTTTCAAGCTACCTTGATGATGTGAGTTATCAGAATACCTAACAATGCTTTAGAATATACTGTAATAGTGAGGAAAAAAATCACAATAGGTTCTGAAAAGCTTTAGGATTCCAGGTTAAAATATGTTCCAAGCAACGACTAAATGGTTAGGGCAGTCATGCTCGGTGACTTGGTTATTTCTTGTTTGTTTGTTTTTCTAATAATGTTACACTCAGCAATATTCCAGCTATATGACAGCAGTCTGTAAATAATCAAATCTGGACCTGACAGTTCAGTGACAGACATCATCGGCATCGATCTACTCAATTTGGATACGATGACATGCATCAGAACCCATTAATCGCCTCTATGACAAACACAGGTTGCTGAAGACATATTCTTACCCAGGTCTCCACAGTTGACTTAGTCAGTAGAATGTCATCTTACCCTGATAGTGTGGATCGTTGCACATGATATCAATCACCAGATCGTCACAGGATGATTACTTACATACAGGCCGCCATCATATGCTTGAATATTGTTGAGTGTGTCTGTAAACTAAGATACAAACAGTTAAGGAGGCGTGGGTTGTTGAAGCATTCACTCAGCATGCTGAGAACTGGGTTCTACAGTTTTTAGTCTCGTGTACATCCTGGATAGTGACTGGACCACTAAATTCAAGCACTGTTGTCGGTCCATGTGCCTGGTAGAAATATTATAAATCTGTTCAAGTTAGAAGTATTGTTGTAAATGGTTCCCCCAAAATAACCATGAAGGTGTAATGAAAGCACAACAACATGAAGGGATTTCCATCATGCAAAATTGAAGTCAGTAAGACAGATGAATTTTGTCATTGTTTGTTTTGCATTCGGCACTTCTCACAGGACAAACACAATGCCGACATGAAAACACAATGAGATAGTGGTCTGCCGACACAATATGTGAGAGACCTGTATGGCATGATTTAGGGGCACTGGTGACAGGCTTAAAACAAGACAACAGTGTCAACACTTTTTGTTAGTGAAAACAGTAGTATTTCTGACAGGGACGGTATTGGTAGAAATAGAGCTGACTGTCAAACTTAAGTAATGTCCAACAGGGATGGAAATGCATATTTTTTCAAGCGTGCCACTAGGCACTCATAAGGATGTTTCAGTGTGCCCTTTGGTATGTGACCTGTGAAGATTCCGGGGTAGATTAGGCCTTCAGCAACCCATGCTTGCCGTAAAAGGTGACTATGCTTGTCGTAAAAGGCGACTAACGGGATCGGGTTGTTATGCTCGCTGACTTAGTTGATGCATGCTATCGATCCAAATTGCGTGGATCAATGCTCATGATATCAATCACTGGATTGTCAAGTCCAGACTCGATTATTTTACAGACCGCCGTCATATAGCTGGAATATTGCTGAGTGCGGCATTAAACAACAAACCAACCAACCAACCCTTTGGAATGTTAGTGTGCCAACTAGAAGAATACTGTTGATCCAACTGCTAAACTTGTGATTGTCATTTCACTAAGGCTAGATAATAAACGGGCATATTTTCGAAAATTTGTTCCCTTCCTCAACTTTGAGATTGATAATACCCAGCGTTATTTTGTGAATCATACTGTGCATTAAGCATGTTAACATGTGTTTGTCAGGTTTACGGTACTTGTGAGAAAATACAGTTATCACCTGAAAGACATTATTTATGAGTGCCCTTCAGGCACTGGGAACATATTTTACTCATGCTAACCTCACTAAAATACAAGGGATTTCGGTCCCTGACCAATATGAAAGTTTGCACCTGAAATACTGTTTCTGTTCACACACTGGTGCAACTCAAGGTCACATGAATCCCAATTGCGTGGATCAATGCTCCTGATATCAAGCACTGGATTGTCTGGTCCATTTATTTCATTGACCCTTGAAGATCTGGGGTAGAATAGGTCTTCAGCAACCAGTTCTTGCCGTAAAAGACGACTATGCTTGTTGTAAGAGGCGACTAACCAGATCGGAAGATCAGCCTCACTGACTTGGTTGATGCATGTCGTTGTATCCCAATTGCGTGGATTGATGCTCATGATGTCAATCACTGGATTGTCTGGTCCAGACTTGATTATTTTCAGACCGCCGTCATAAAGCTGGAATATTGCTGAGCGTGGCCTTAAACAACAAGCAAACTTTAAACAACATTCACACTCTCACACATGTCAGTGATGCCGTGAAAGAATCAAGAGTTGATATTCTATGGCAACATTAATTCCTTGTATTCACCAGTGAAGCAGCCAGTGTGTATTTGTTTTCAGATCAGTTCCGTGCAGCAGGTGTTAGCGTCTCAGTTCTCGGAGACCATGATGTACCCACTCAGCAAGTTCCTCCAGGCTGACATGGATGGTAGGTAGCTCACATATTCCTGTCGATAATTGGAGTACTCAAATTGATTACTTTTCTCTTGTGAAAAGATACGACATAATGCATCTGAAATGATGAAGTGTCACCAGAGCACTTTTGGCTGGTGAGATGAGATATAATTTCATGAACATTTACCCTGAATAAAAGACATAATTCATTATTTCTTATTTGTGTCAAATGAAAAATATACATACAGTGACAAATATTTTATCCCACAGATTTTACCCCCAAACATGCCACCTCACAACAAACTGTACAGCCTTGCTTTATTGAGTATGCATTTAGGCAACTTAATGATAATTTTGATTGCCTAGAATGTTTGATTTATTGATTATTTGATCAATCACTCCAGGGGCGGTCGGGTAGCCTAGTGGTTAAAGCGTTCGCTCGTCACGCCAAAGACCCGGGTTCGATTCCCGACATGGGTACAATGTGTGAAGCCCATTTCTGGTGTCCCCCGCCGTGATATTGCTGGAATATTGCTAAAAGCGGCGTAAAACCAAACTCACTCACTCACTCAATCACTCCATCACCACAAAAGGCAAGTGAAGGAGATACTGGCATCTTTGTTCAAGAATATTTCAATGTGACACAAAATTGCTTCATCCTTGGTGCCAATTCATTGGAGGCACCCAAGAACCTGAAACTAAATTTAACTGATGTTACCATCAAGTTTGGAACATGATGTTGCGAACACTGTGACACCTTGTTCATTATTACTGGATGCATTGTTGAAGTCGACATTTCTGGTTGACTCTATGAATCCACTTTGGACTTTTACAGCTCTTCTAAGCTCAAAACTCTGTGGCAGCCTCTATGTCCTCGTCATCCTGGAAGCGTCTTCCACGTAGGACAGATTTCATTTTTCAGGAACAGGAAATAGTCACTGGGGGCTAAGTCTGGGTTCAAACAGTGAAATCAACCACCCTTCAGCCCAGACTTAGCCCCCAGTGAAATCTGCCCTACGTGGAAGACACTATTTCTGGAATGTTTTTGTAAACCCTTGTTATATCATTATGATAGTGTGTGTGCTTTATTCTATTTTTGTGATTTGTGTTTCAGAAATCAGCACAATGTTTGAAATGTTCCAGATCGCCTCTCATGGTAAGTGTGGAATGAGAGTTATCTCCCTTACATTACCATACCCCAATTGTGACCACTACAACAAATCAATTGTACCCTGTCTGCACCTTTAAAGTGAAAACATCCCCCAAGATTCATAATTTCAATGACATAGCAATTTACAAGGGTACTTCTTGTCTCAACAAGGATTACTAGAAACATGCAGAAGTGGGGACAAAGAGTTTGTTCAGACTTGGAGAACCAGTGTGTTTATAATGGTCAGATATTTGTCCGTTTTCACTATTGACTTCAGCTTGAACAGCTTCTATGTTGTGTTTTGTGTTCATGTTTTTAACCAAGCTCCCTCCTAGCGAAATAAAATGGAAAAATGTCAAACAGATCAAACAAGAAACAAGAAAAACATTCACTAAACATAACAGTCAGTCACCAAGGACAGTAGGGAGCTGTGAGTGGTGGCAGTGATAGAAAAGAGAGCTCTGCAAAGGGTTTTCTTAGGCACTGACCATTTGTAGTAGATGGTTGTCTGTAAGTAACCGTGTCTGGACCATTGCTAGAAAGTTGAATATTGATTTGGGGAGTTTTGTCTTATTATAGTTGCTAACAAGTATATTTATATTGAATGAGGATGATTTTCTTTGCCAAAGACCCGGGTTCTGAACTTCAATTCCCCACATGGGTGCAATGTGCTAAGCCCATCTTTAGTGTCCTCCGGCTTGATATTGCTGGAATATTGCTAAAAGTGGCGTAAAATCATACTCACTCACTCAATGAATGTTTAACTAGACCTTTCAGTAACGTATTGACACCTGTCTGTTTATTTCAGAACATGAGCAGGCTTTGACAAAATACATGAAACTGCCCAGCAAGAAAGACAATGAGAAAGCCCGAGTGGAGACAAATGAAGACCTTTATGCAATGAGGAAAAAGTTCCATCAGGTAGGCTCGTCTATAACCTCTTTATCTTTTATTATCCTTTAGGGGCACAGGTGGCCAAGTTGTCTTAGGCGTCACAATTGGCTGTACAGAGTTGCATCCCTTGGGCACGCCAGAAACCTATGATCGTTGGTTCGAATCACGGTTCTCCCTGATTATGTTTCTAGATTTGTGGTAAACATCTGAGACCTGCATCACTTCGGACTTCATTCCAACATTGAGCTGACACGCCTTGATATAACTGGGATTATGCTGTTCAAAGCAGCGTTAAACCTAACTCACTCACTTTTTCAGCATGTGTGGTTAAGAAAATTAATATATATTTTTAATAATCCTCAGAAATTATCTGTTCAGGAGGTACCCGCCGCCTTAATGTGGTATTCCATAAAAAATCACTTGTCCCTCCTGAATTTTTCTTGTCCCTGACTTGCAGACTTATGTTAATATCGATCCCTAGGATATCAATAAACACAGAACTGATGGATTTCAACTGGATTTCACTTTAATGTTTCAAGACCACCACTTGTACCTTTGACCCAAGGGGATTCTGGGTAAGAATACAGGTCTGCCATCAACCTATGCTCTCGTAAGAGGCAACGCGATGATTGAGTGGTTATGTTCGGTGACCTGGTTGATTGCCCGTCATCGTACCCCGATAAAGTGCATCATTGCTTATAATATAAATGACTGGATTGTGTAGACTAGACGCATTTTTTGACAGACCACCGTCATCATTACAGCTGGCAAAAACAAACAAGCAGTAAAATCATGCCAGTATACCTTCAAATACGACACCTGAATGATACAAATACCTTATTCTAAATATTCATTTTGTTAATTGAAATGTTAATTCGAAAGGATGCTGGCAGTTTTGCCTGTGTGACAATAAGACGAAACAAACAGTTTGTACTGGGCAATCAAACAACCTTTTGGGCAGGGGCCATAGGGAAGTTATAATTATGAAATTCTCGGAAAGTGACTTTTTTTGTAGGTAGCTGAAAGATACCAAGTAAATGTTGGAGAAAAACAAACCCACAGTTCTTGATAATATGGGGGGCACGGGTGGCCCAGTCGTCTAAGGCGCCGCGATTCGCTGTGCAGAGTCGCGTCCCTTGGGCACGCCAGAAACCTATGATTGTGGGTTCGAATCCCGGTTCGCCCCGATTTTATTTCTAGGTTTGTCAGCACCATACCCGTGCTCGTGGGTTTCACCGAAGTGGTAAACGTCTGAGACCTGCATCACTTCAGGCTTTCCTCCCACATTAAGCTGACACGCCGTGATATAACTGGAATACTGTTAAAAGCGGCGTTAAACCCAACTCACTCACTCACTCACTCTTGATAATATGGGGTGGTGGGGTAAAGTGGTAAAACTGTTTGCTCTTTATGCCAAGGCCAAGGTTTGATACCTCACATTAAGTACAATATGTGAACCACTTTTCTAGTGTCTCTTGCTGATACTGCTGGAATATTGCAAACAGCTGTGTAAAACCATACACACTCACTCACTCGTTATATGGTGGCGAAGACGGTCGGTCCGCTTGTGTGCGGTGCCCTAAGCTATTTCCTACATACTGTGTCTTTCCTAAACAGTATCTTGGTTAAGGAAGAGAATTTATGGGTGTAAATGTTTTGAAGTATATACTTACTCCCTCATCAGGTGAATGAAAGATGATCACCTGATGAAGGAGTAAGTATATACTCCGAAACGTTGTGTTCCTCATAATGAAGAAGTTGACATCCATAAATTCTCTTCTTATGTGTATCACTTCTAAATGTCTTTCAAAGACTTGAGTATTTAGGTTATTGAGCAAATTAGACGTCAGATTTCTAAAATAATTTGACTTCCTTCTTCACCACCACAATTTGGAAATTTAAGTCTCAACAAAAAAAACCCCGATAATCCTTACATCATGTACACGGAACTCCAGCAGAGATTTATCGTATTAGAATAAGAAATCTGATTTTACTGATTGATGAATGAAAAAGAAACTTTTGTCGAGAGGATGACTTTATTTTAATACAAAAACTTCAAAAGCTTCATACAGATGGCTTCATACAAGAATAAACATTGAAAACAGTACAATTACAAATAACAAGTGATTTGTATGAAATTACACATCTTTGTAAAAATGTCCACACATGACATGAGCTTCCGGCAAGCTAAAATAATTGAATGCTGCTCACATGTGTAAGCTGAAGCTTGAGAATCACTGTCGAGATAGAGACATTGAGAAGAACTTCAAGGAATAGTCATAACCTGTCCAGTCCTTCCAGTAGATACCATCATAGTAGCCCCCTGTTGGTTGGTAACGGCCATAGTAGTAGTTCCCGGTCGGGAGTGCATAGGTACAGTAGTTGTACCACCAGCCTGCCTTCTGGTACACAGCGCATAAGTTCCGATCGGGGCGGTCACTGGTTGCAAACGGCATGCCGTTGTTGAAGCCGAGGTCGTCGGGAACCTGGCCGCTGAATCCCCCAATGTGCAATACGAAGTTGGTGGGGTCAAGTAGTTTGAACATGGAGTAGCGGGCATTTCGTGCTTGGCCGTCCCATGTCTGCATGTTGATGGTGAGGACATTGTTGCCTGCAGAGAGAACAATTAGGAGTTGCCTGTTAAGTGAAATAAGGATTGCAACATCAATGGCTGTCAGGTTTTGTTTGTTTGTTGTTTTACCCCGCATTCAGCAATATTCCAGCCATATGACGGCGGTCTGTAAATAAACGAGTCTGGACCAGACAATCCAGTCATTGACATCATGACCATCGATCCATGCAGTTGAGATATGATGACATGTATCAACCAAGTCAGCAAGTCTGACCACCCGATCCCGTTAGTCGCCTCTTGCGACAAGTATAGTCGCCTTTCAGGTACCGTTTATCTTACAGTGAGTGGTTAGATCAATGGTATATGACAGGCACAAATGCAGTAATCTGTTTTTTACACACCCTAAAATTGCACCATTTTATCATTGAATCGATGCATAGTTTTTCTATTCTCATGATTGCAGTGGCACATTAATACATAACCTGCTACTTATACCTCGTGTGACCCTCCACTAATTTCCACCATATCTTGGAATTATCAATGCGATGACAATAATCCAAACCAGATAAGATCAAAGAACATTTTATTGACACTCTAAAACCATAGACAGACGGAGACATAGGTGAATTCGACTGCAGCACGAGTTACTTATCATTTACAATCAGGAAAGTAGTCAGTCACTATGGAGTAAGGGGGAGTAAGTCCAGGGGTTTATCTAGACCTGCTCAGAGGCTGATATTTGGGCCCAGGTCTTTAATTATTCCCAATTTGGAACTAAGTATTTCCCAACTCATGTTCTAATGTGTCAGTATATGCACCCTTAATTATGGGCAATTAAATTCTGGAAAATATATCTGTCATGTATAATACACACAGACTTTTCTTTTGTATCATTTCAGGCTGTCAGCATAAACCGAAACATTTACGATCTTTCAACTCACCAAAATTATATTCTAATAAGAGCCCACTATATCTAATTTTGAGAGCAACCCGGACACTTATTATGTCGGTAATTTAGGTTGGAAATGACACATATCATTCGTAGAAGTTGCCAAAATTTATGTCATGAAAAAATGTTACATAAAAATGGTTACATTCAATGTGATGTCAGTGCATCAAAGTAACAGACATATGGTATTGACAAACAACTTTCTTTTGTACATAAATAGTTGTACATCAATAGTGTTATAGTCCTTCTCCACTACACAGCTCTGGCGGCTGAGGTTTGATTTCAGCTGCTTCACAATGAAAAGGTTTGGACATCATGTTTCAGGTTGGAAAGTTTGTTAATTTTCTTGACTTATAGTTCACGCCATATGTTGTATCAAATCGGTGATGTAGATAATCTTAACAGGAAAACATGAGACAAGTGTATTATACACCTGTGAAGATCTGGGGTAGAATAGGTCTTCAGCAACCCATGCTTGCCGTAAAAGGCGACTGTGCTTGTCGTAAGAGGCGATTACTGGGATCGGTGGTCAGGCTTGCTGACTTGGTTGATGCATGTCACCTTATCCCAACTGTGTGGATTGTAGCTCATGATGTCAGTCCCTGGATTATTTGGCCCAGACTTGCTTATTTACAAACCGCCGTCAAATAGCTTGAATATTGCTGAATGCAGCATTAAACAACAAACAAACAAACAAACACTTAGACAGTAGAAGCCATGTCATGAGACAAGAAGTGCTGGCTAGTAGTGTGTAGGGAGCAATATTTGCCTGTTAAAGAGATTTATGGTCAAGTAAGGAGTCATTTCATTAAGGGAAAATCCTGGCTACCAATATCAATCTCAATTTCCACCCAAATAAATCTTTTTCAGTTTGCCTGCCAAGGGAATTCTTTCTAGAATACTTGATAAATCTCTGAGTTGACTGAGAACTTGCTTACCTGCATTTGTAAGATGGTACATAGTGATTAATCCCATCCAGTAGTCACTTTGAGGATATCCAAAACCATAATAATACTCGTTGAACTTTCGTTGGAAGTGGACGCTGCCATCACTGCGTCTCTGTATGACAGTGTAGGAAATGTCGGCAGTATGTTCGCAGTGCACCTGACAAAGGAAGCTCATTCTGACATTATATGGCATCTTAAAAATATGCACCATACTAATTAAGAATGCAGCATTACACACACTCATGGTGTTGATCATGATATACCCAGTAATACAAGATAGCTATGCGATAAATCATGAAGAACAATGAAGAGCGAAGTGTGGTTTATATTGTTCTATCATGACATCATTTCTGGAAATTCCAACATGCTGTCACAACTTGATGGCATCGTAAATAGGACAACCTTAATTTTTAGAGGGAAACATCTAGTGGGTTGTTCCCCATAGATGTAGCTGGGCAGAGAGACGCAATGGCCTAGCGATCTCAATCTGACCAGGGTCATGTTCACAGATGACACTGACAGAAGATAGACACCAGCTCTGTGCATAAGTATAATTATTTGACCTTTGGTCCATCTGAGCGTAAAAGGATTAAGAAAACTAACATCATTATCTTTATGTTACTGAAGTAAATTTAATGATGCATATATTTAGGATGTGTTATTTCAATGCAGAAAGGAAGTGAAACTATTCACAAGACACTGTGGTTAATGTCTCTGTGAAGCAAGTTGATTGTACCGGATATGGCCAGGAACTGTTGAGGTGAAGAGTATAGACTCCAGACACATTGTACCCTCCAGTGTGGCGCAGGTGATGACAGTCTGAAGGAAAGCAGTATCTTGTTAGAGAATGACACAACTATTAGAGGCACTGGGTGACCAGTCTAATGGAAAGCAGTACCTAGATGGTTGACTCAAGTGACAAAGGAATAGATCAGCTGAAGCACAGGAGTCCGTATCTAAAAATAGACGCCCTCATGCATATTCATGACCATCTCCACACGCGAGCCCGAAGGTCGCGTGTGGAGATGGTCATGAATATGCATGAGGGCGTCTATTTTTAGATACTGACTCCTGTGGCTGAAGGACAGTAGTATCTAGTCAGTGGTTATATGCTATTAGCTTATCAGCAGGATAAAAAAAAGAACAAATGCAGATTATTTTTTCCATTTCTACAAAAAGCTTCAGTCGGTGGATCCATAAAGCAAGTAAAAAGAAAGTGTTGCCTTACTCCTGCTTGAACAAGACAAACATGTCTACTACTGTGAAGTATGTTTACATTTTCAGTCAGTTTTATACTGTTCAATTTGAAGAGCTCATGAAGCATTTAGTCAGAACAGGTTCAGAATTATAGCCCTCAAATGCTGCTAGTCAATGAAGACTCCCAGTACTGAATTTTTACTTGTCCTTAGCACAAATTAGTAGTCAATCAACAATAATCTTGAATAACGATTGTAGGGCTGGGACGATACACCAACTGTGCAATCTGATACGTATCATGATACTTGCTCACGATCTGATACGTATCACGATACTTGCATGTACACTTTTCTGTGGTGCGTGAGCCATGTTTTTTATAGACAGGATGGACAAATACCTGGAACACAAATGATCTACAGTTGGCAGTGTCAAGTATGGGGCAATGGATGAAAATATTTACGTTTTCACTACTCATTTTCACCAGTAATTGGTGTTTGGTGTAACATTTATTGAAGAATACATTTAAGGTAGGAATCGATACTTTTTACTTTGTGAGCGATTGTGATGGATACTTGTATCAAGAAGTAAGAAGTCGTGATCCACTGATGCATCAGTGTATTGTCCCACTACTAAAAGATTGGTTGTTAAATTTAGTTGTCTTGGGCTAGCAGACTAGTGTGAATCTCGGCAGCATGGGCAGGCAGGATTGAGTGATACTTGTGTAATATTGTCAACTCATTCAATGGGGTCCTCCCATTTGTCAGACACCCAGTTGTCAGACGGTGGAATATTGTTTTACTACCACACACCCTTATACTCATATAATATGACCCAGACACTGACAATCTCTTTGAAGTTTTAACAGCTTGGTTAAACTGTAAATATGTTCGTTTTTACTGAAGTTTGCGAGATGGTGTTTACTGCTTGTTTTCACAAGTGAGTTTAATAGGCTTCGTTAACATAACCAGGTTGTTTTTGCAAGTTAGTAGGCCAATTAAAGTAATCCCTTTGAAGTGTATGTACTTCATATTTTAATGTTTCACAGTTTGTTGTCACTGATATGTTCACTGAGTAGCTATATAATACAAGATACATGATCAGAAGAATGGATACCAGACCATGGCTGGAGCTGCAGTATGCAAATTTTAATACGTTCCATCCATCCGAGGATCACAACAGGTGCTGTTGGAAGGGATCTTGTACAACAAGATTGCTGTGAGGCAACACTGGCGATGGGTGTGGAAGACTTGACCTGTACACACTGGTGATAGGTGTGGAAGACTTGACCTGTACAGGCTGGCGATGGGTGCGGAAGACTTGACCTGTACACACTGGTGATAGGTGTGGAAGACTTGACCTGTACAGACTGGTGATAGGTGTGGAAGACTTGACCTGTACAGGCTGGCGATGGGTGCGGAAGACTTGACCTGTACAGACTGGCGATGGGTGTGGAAGACTTGACCTGTACAGGCTGGCGATGGGTGTGGAAGACTTGACCTGTACAGACTGGCGATGGGTGTGGAAGACTTGACCTGTACAGGCTGGCGATGGGTGTGGAAGACTTGACCTGTACAGACTGGCGATGGGTGTGGAAGACTTGACCTGTACAGGCTGGCGATGGGTGCGGAAGACTTGACCTGTACACACTGGTGATAGGTGTGGAAGACTTGACCTGTACACACTGGTGATGGGTGCGGAAGACTTGACCTGTACACACTGGTGATAGGTGTGGAAGACTTGACCTGTACACACTGGTGATGGGTGCGGAAGACTTGACCTGTACAGACTGGCGATGGGTGCGGAAGACTTGACCTGTACAGGCTGGGGATGGGTGCGGAAGACTTGACCTGTACAGGCTGGGGATGGGTGCGGAAGACTTGACCTGTACAGGCTTGTGATGGGTGCGGAAGACTTGACCTGTACAGGCTGGCGATGGGTGTGGAAGACTTGACCTGTACAGGCTGGCGATGGGTGCGGAAGACTTGACCTGTACACACTGGTGATAGGTGTGGAAGACTTGACCTGTACAGGCTTGCGATGGGTGCGGAAGACTTGACCTGTACACACTGGTGATAGGTGTGGAAGACTTGACCTGTACAGACTGGCGATGGGTGCGGAAGACTTGACCTGTACACACTGGTGATAGGTGTGGAAGACTTGACCTGTACAGGCTTGCGATGGGTGCGGAAGACTTGACCTGTACACACTGGTGATAGGTGTGGAAGACTTGACCTGGCAAGTGCAGCACTGTTGGTGTTTACTTCAGGACGAGCGGTCGGGTAGCCTAGTGGTTAAAGCGTTCGCTCGTCACGCCGAAGACCCGGGTTCGATTCCCGACATGGGTACAATGTGTGAAGCCCATTTCTGGTGTCCACCACCGTGATATTGCTGGAATATTGCTAGAATATTGCTAAAAGTGGCGTAAAACCATACTCACTCACTCACTACTTCAGGACAACTTCACACCACAGCCATCCTCCAGAACAGCCTGAGAAAACGGGCAAGAGAAGAAACCCATATGCAGTCACTCTACAATGAGGAGTTAGCCATCCAAAACGAAGATCAGATTCCGTATCGACCACCATGACCCCCAAGTGAAGAAGTGGGTCTGGAGAGCAGCTGGTTTGGCCCTTCTCCCACCAGGCATGGTCCAAGACTTGTGGCTGGAAGCCACGAACTCCACCACTGACGTGCCTCGAGATGTGCAGTTCAACGACTACATGGTAGTCAACTGGGTCGTCGATGATGCCAGATTCCGGATGCCAACCGACACCCCAACATCTATCGTTTGATTAAAGTCATGAAGAATATTGAAGAAGCAGACAGAGCTTATCCAGGTTGATTTTGGTGCAGCGCTTCCAAGAATCAAGAGAACCAGCACTGAAAGAGAGCCGGAGCCTCCTTCACCTGAAGTAACAACTGCGTCAGGGAGTAAAGACCCCAATGCAATTCCTGGATTACATTCAGGTTACATTCAAGTAAATATTACTGTGTTCGTAATGATTGATGGTCATTATATATTATGTATATGTTACGTAGTATACTTCATATATATAACGTAAAACTCCTTTAACTTAGCAATAGATTCCAAAGTATAAAGCAATAATAAATCAAGCATAAACACTGATTTATATAATTTTGTTTTCTTTTGTACCAGTTGTCAGACAGTTGTTGGTGACAGGACTAGTCTATTCCGATTAAGGGGAATATGTCACACCATAAAAGTTGTTGTTTTAAGCTGTCTGACAAATGAGAGATGACCCTATTGAATAAATGTCATATTGACCTGATAAACATCCTGTTTGGCAATGCCGTGGTTGTGAACCAAGATGAAATATCACTGAGCTAATGTTTTGAATTTAAACTTAGAACTAGAGTACATTTAATGATTTGATTCATTAATGTCCATGTTGCTATAACTTTTCTTTGTGTTTATCGATTCTGTTGCCTATAGCCTTAGGGACCGGTCATTTATAATGGGGTGGGGGTTGGGGAGTGGGGGTTTCAGAGGGAATCAGTTCAGTTGGAACACGGACCTATATAACCTGGATAGGAAACGATACAGAATTCCTGAAACTATCTCTGCCGCGCATCCGCGAATTGCAATCCGAGCCCCATGTTATCGGTATCCCGCAGGCGCGATGCCAACCACATGTGGACAGCTTATGGCGCATGCGTAGTAGGGCTTAACTTGACTTCCCCTGGTTACCAAAACATCCGGCTTACGAGCATGTGTGGCGATTGATAGCTGTCAAAACACATATGTCCCATGTGCATCAGATTTTTATCAATTAAACACGGAAACGGTAATTAAGATGATCGAGATATCAGACCGTATATATACAATGCCTTGCAACATTATCGTCATTCCTAACCTAATACGGATACATATTCAAGCGTTCAGATTCTCTCGTACCAACTACAACATGTCCGATTTCGTCAACTGGGATGACTCCGATTTGGATTTGTCCGTACTTCTAGGCGAGTACACCGAGTATGAAGTGGATAGAAACTCGGATTCAACGTCCGATGACTGCCATTCATAGCTATATTTGTAACATTAATTACAGAGTATTTAACGAATGTTTCGTAATTACAAAACCGCATAGTTGCTTATTGGTATATAAGGTATTAGTTTGTAATTTTTTGGGAAAAAATATCTATCAGAATAAAAGTTTTAGCACGCCCAAATCGTGCGTGTGTGTAAAAATTCCCGAGTTTTGTTGCATAAACATCGATTTTCATGGACTCGTAATTCGTTGTGAAATAACATTATCAAAGATGTTCTTACACATAACTGCTGTACAGATAGCATATGTTCAGCACACCCTTGTAACTAAGGACTTTATTGGATGATAACGAAGGAGATAGCGAAATAAAACAGCCAAATATCACGATTTCACTTGTCTGCCATCTTGGATGCAAGACGAAAACAATGGACCGGTGTGCACATTTCTAAAGACAGTTGAAACAAAAATGATTACTTTCAGAAGTCTTATTTCGTCCCTAATACCATTACACAATATATAAACAAAATATCCACTTACCTTTCAAGTCTGTATATAAGCGAAAAACACTGGAAATTAGGATGTTTTGAAGCGATACGCGGACAAAAGTTGAAGAGCTGGTCAGTGAATCTACCCATGAGCCTCTGCGATGACCCCCCGCAGAGGTGGAAAAACAATCGCCGGTAGCGCGGCGTAGATGACCTGAGGCTATCTGTTGCGTTTCCTATCCAGGTTATACAAGTCCGTGGTTGGAACTACTTCACCTGCACTCAACATTCCTATCAATATGTACATTTGATCATTTATGACATACGCTTTATGGTATACCGGGGTAAACGAGTTATTCAGAAATAGTGCAAATACATAACATGCATAAAACAAAAATACAATTAATTTAAACAGATCATGATATTAACAATTTACTGCGTACTGGTAGTGAATCTATGCACCATGCAGATGTGTTTACAGATAAAGCGCTTAAGAATATCAAAACTTCTGTCCCAAGACCATATCACAAACTTTTCAAAGTCAAGGTTATCTTAAAAATATAGTTGAGGATAAACTAAGTGATATCCAGTTGCAATCCTTGATGGCTGCAAGAGATAAATCTCCAAAAGGATCAATGTAAATAATTGTAATGAATGAAATTAAATTTTGAAAACTATTTAATTAATACGGATGGAAATAATTTGAGAATTTTTCTTAAGTTTAGAACCTCCAATCACGATTTACCAGTTGAAACAGGCAAATGGAGGAAATGAATTATCTGGAGGAAAATACCCACTCTGCCAATTACAGGACATAAGAGATGAATTTCACAACTTGGCTATATGTCTTTCATTTGAAAAGAGAGACAACAAGTCATAAATAAATATTATTATATTTTACATGTTTAAAATGAATTTACGTTTACGAGCTCAAAAAACATAAAGAAAGTTATCTAAGTTGTGTAAAATAATCAAGGTAATGTTTGAATCTGGATAATAACATTTCATAAATGTTTGTAAAAAGTTTCAGTTGTCTTCTGTACCTGATCTGACTGCTCGGAAAAGATTTTTATGACATTGTAATGTTGTTTTCAGTTCAGTCGGAACTACTTCACCTGGACTATGCATCGATATCAATATGCACATTTCAACATTTATGACATTTTAACTTAACTTGCATTAATTGAACATTAACTACGGTGAATAAACAGTACTCGTTTTATTTGTGGGATACCTGAAGCGCCAAATCCTGCGACAGTGTACCATGTCTGGGCACTTGCTGGTCAGATATCAAATTTGGTGCTCCCAGACTAATACTCCCACCCCCCAACAGGGGTAGAAACTAACATATTTAGTCCACTAGTCCTTATAATGATAACATATTGCAAAACCCTTAAAAATGGCAAATTTCTACTAGTCCTTATGATACCTTAACTATTGGGCAGTTTGGCAAGGACTACAGGACTAGTGCCAATTTCTAACACTGCCCTACACTCAACCCCAAAATAAATGACCCCCCCTAAGCTCTTACCACTGCCATGGTTATTGTCAGTGCATAGTCAAACATTGAATAGAGCAAATGTCAAAGTCCCCTGATCACATAGAGTACAGTTGAAATAAATAAGCCTTTGTCAAGTCAAGGCACCCAACTCACCTGTGTACTCTGTTTTGTCATGCTTGTTTAGGGCCTCATGGCTGACAAACTTCAACCGGGTGTCCTTGTAAGTAGAGACGGCACTCAAGCCTCCACACAGGGCAAGGAGCAGACCAAGTGGAAGGTAGACAGTGGCCATGCTGACACAGTAGGCTGATAGACACAACTGATACACACTAGCGTAGACCTTGGTTCAAGAGTGTAGGGATTTACTTCCTCATCAGAAACTGCTTACTTGTCAACACCTGTGCATGGTCATGTGATCATGGAGGCTATAAATAGACTGAATAACCGTCATGTGATTCTACTGGTGGTTGTTGCACAATACCTCCCAATCTTAGCTTCCCAGAAAACTTGAGGTTATAGAAAGGTTGTGATGCATGGTTTGGTTGTTTTGCAATAGGGTGATAAGAACATGACCCAAGCTGGGATTTTGAAGGCCACAATGTAAACTGCACATTGTGAGATATTTAGCTGGCTAGGTCCATGCCTTGTTCAGCAGATGGGCATGCTGCTTGTACATGTGTGTGTGTGTGTGTGTCTATATATATATACAGTATATTTCTTGTGGAGATACTACATGATCATGGGTTGTAGAATCTCTTTTTGTTTGAAGATGTCCAAACTTTTACAGATGTGAAAAAATTAAATAATTCATTTTGTTTGATTTTGTCAAACTTTTATTTCGAGAGATTTAATGTTTGTTTGTTTAACGCCGCTCTCAGCAATATTCCAGCAACATATCTGCGGTTTGTAAATGATCAAGCCTGGACCAGACAATCAAGTGATTGACAACATGAGCATTGATCTACTTAATTGGGATACAATGACATGCATCAACCAAGTACGTGAGACTGACCACCCGATCCTGATAGTCACCCCTTATGACAAGCATAGTCACCAGCCGCGAGCGATTTTACATCAGGAAATGACATTAATGGTATAGCCTCAATTAAAATCTGTCCTTGTTCCTTGAGCCTGCTGCATCGAGGTATATGATCATGGTCTGAAAATTACGAAAAATGTGGTCTTGGTGCCTTTAAGAGATGTATATTCAATATTTATGGGATATAGTTCAAGATGTAGGAAATTGATGGGGTTGTTATCATAATACCATAAAGATGCCCTCCATGCTTAGAAAATTAAGAAAAGGTTATTTAAACCATGCACATGCAGAGTTTAAACTTGAGGTTAGATCAAGTGGGGAAAAAAACCTTAGTTCAAATGCTTTTTATGATAAAAGATTAGTAGACAAGGTGGATGATTACAACTTTGATTGTATTTCATGTGATGTTGGCATTTTTTTAATGTCTTATTAATATGATAATGTGTGATTTTCTTGTAATATGGAAAAGGCTTCTTTTCTAATATTTACAAAAAAAATTAAAACTACATCTTCGCAGTATAATTATTGTATAGCATTTTTCAGTTTTATTTATATTAATATACATTTTACATGAGGGTCCAGTTCCTAATTTTGACCACAGTCACGTTGGTATTATTCTGATTCATCTGCCAGATATGCTCTGCGCAAAAAGAGAAACGAAACGTAGTAAAATCGAACATATCTGACAAGTGTTGCTGACATCCATACGAGATAAATGGGGTGGTCGGGTAGCCTAGTGGTTAAAGCGTTCGCTCGTCACGCCGAAGACCCGGGTTCGATTCCCGACATGGGTACAATGTATGAAGCCCATTTCTGGTGTCCCCGGCCGTGATAATGCTGGAATATTGCTAAAAGCGACATAAAACCATACTCACTCACTCACTCATACGAGATAAATACCCGAGTATTGCCACAACTGCGATGGAGACAACTTTGGTTTAGTGACGTTTTATGCTTCGCCATGTGGATAATAGGCATCATGTTTTCAGGCGTCGTGGGGAATGTTATGCACAAAACTGCATACAGGAAGTGGACAGAATTGGTGGTGGTAGTGTGATGATGTGGGCAGCCACCTTGTACACTGGTAGAACAGATTTGATGCAAGTTATGGGGAATTTAACAGTACAACGTTACATGGATGAGATTCTTCGGCCATATGTTCCTCCCATTATGCAACAAACGAATGTCATTTTCCAACAAGACAAAGCCTGACCTCACATGGCAGGACTGACAACAGCCACATTAATAATATTAATTTATTGGTTATTTTGTTACAGGTTTTTGTAAGAAAAACACATTATGTATAAATACATTAATAATCATCTTTGTAGCATCACATTTGAGACAGAGACATTGACAGGAATTTCAAAGAGTATCCATATCCTCGCCAGTCCTTCCAGTAGATACCATTGTAGAATCCGCCGGTTGGCGTGTAGCTGCCTCCGGTGTAGTAGACTCCGTTGGGGAGGGCGTAGCTGCAGTAGTTGTACCACCACCCAGCACTCTGTTGGGTGGCACAGCTGTTTGGGTCGGGGCGGTCATATGTGGCAAAGGGCATGTTGTTGTTGTAGAATAGATCGTCAGGGACAGAGCCAGAGAACCCACCAATGTTGAGTGTGAAGGTGTTCGGATCTTGCAGACGGAAAAATGAGTAACGGACATTCTGAGCTTCCCCATCCCAGGTCTGCATGTTGATCGTTAAAACATTATTTCCTGGAGAAAATAAAAGTTAAAGTCAGCTGTACAATGTGTGAAACCCATTTCTGGTTTCTCCCACCGTGATATTTGTGGATTATTGCTGAGTGGGTAATAAACAACAAACAAACAAACAAACAAACAAACAAAACTGTTTGGTTGTTAAATTCCCCTAGTGGGTACAGTGTGTGAAACCCTTTTCTGGTGTCCCTGCTATGATAATGCTGGAACATTGCAAAAAGCTTCAAAAGTCCATTCTCACCCACCCACTGCAGGCATAAGTGGTTCTAAAGCCCTTCTTGGGTGCATAGGTATACATCAGAAATGCCTGCATTATGACAGTGAATTAATCAGAGGCCGATATTCGGCCCCAAGGCTGCAGCACATGTCCGTAAACATTTTCAAAGGGAATGAACTATTTTCTAGTGCCAATATTGTACAACTAATGATACAACTTTATAGTGGTGACTTGCATGAACCAGAACCAATAACTACGAAGAGGCTTAATACTTAGATTTATATATATTATTGCATTAAATGCACTACATTGTTAAAATACCTCTGAATTATAACCAATAGAACAATATAAAGTTCAAAATAATCTTTTTTTCACCCAATTTTTCTGTGCACTTAGTTTAGAATCCTAGATAAATCCCAGATAATAAGCCTCCAGTACACCATTACCTGTGCTTGTGAGGTATAAGATCTGACTGAGCCCTGCCCAGTAGCTGTCCTGAACACTGCCGAATCCGGCGACGTACTCTGACCACTGCCGGATGAATGTGACTGCCCCGGACATTCGTCTCTGTATGACCGTGAAGGAGTTGTCTGCTGTGTGCTCACAATGTACCTGCATATGAAAGGGATTATGATGGTAGAATGAGCAAAGGCATTTGTTCAAAAAGCAGGACTGGTCATTTGATATTCTAGTGTGCAGCCTGGGATTTTGTATGGAGGCTTGATATTTTTTAGCTGCAGATGCAAAAACAGACATATTTTTTTAATTACTGCTATGAGCCTCAATATATATTTCTTAAAAACATCTTGCAACAATTTATTTTATGTTGCAGACAATTTTTTTATTTTTCAAAAGTCTGTAGCTTAATTATCTTTTTCCATCATCCTGAGTCAAGGGAGTTAACTGACTCTAAAGTCGAGTGTCCACCCTTACCGAACTGGGCAATTATGGAGTTGGCTGGAATAACAAGACCACGCATAGTCCAATCAAAATCGTGTAACAAAATTGACATCCGGTTTCTAAACAACATGGATTAAAATCGACCCATAAAAAATCCTGGTTAAAATAGGTCTCCAGCAACCCATGCTTGCCGTAAAAGGTGACTATGCTTGTTGTAAGAGGCTACTAACGGGATTGGGTGGTCAGGCTCACTGACTTGGTTGATGATGCATGTCATCGAATCCCAAAGGATCGATGCTCATGATGTCAGTCACTGGATTGTCTGGTCAAGACTTGATTTCTTACAGACTGCCATCAAGATAGCTGTAATATTGCTGCATGTGGCGTTTAACAATGAAGAAAGAAGGATTAAAACATGCATATTTCGGTTGATTGTAAGATTTGCAAAGGATGTGTACCATTAACTGGGTGTCAACAGATATTTTCCAAATCTTTTTATGTTTATAATCAAGGTGCTCACGTGATTTGATGCACTTTGATGAGCCCCGTTTTATTACAATATTGATCTTGATCTTCGATCAGATTGTCTTGACCGGGCGCTGCCATTTGTTTGAAGGAAATGCAAGTGATAGGAGTGGTGGAATCTGATTAGTGAACAGGAGAGACATAGAAGGTCACTGGTGGCACTTTGATCAACCCTGGAATTTCCAGCCTAGTTTGGCAATGGTGGGAGCAGTTGGGTAGCCTTGTGGTAAAAGCGTTCATTCGTCATGCTAAAGAGCCAGGTTCGAATCTCAACATGGGTACAATGTGTGAAGCCCGTTTCTGGTGTCCCCCGCTGTGATATTGCTGGAATATTGCTATAAGCGGCGTAAAACCTTACTCACTCACTCACTCACTGATTCTGCAAGGGGGGAAACTTCATTTATATTGTTAGTTAACTAAGATGTTTTAAGTTTTAAAGCATTTTCTTGGAAGTGTTTTTCTATAAATTCCTGTCCCCCATCCCTTATGAAATGGCTGGTCCTTCAGTAAAAAATGAAATAATGTAAAAATATTTTTCATTTTTTGAAAATATAATATTATTACTGCAGTGGGAAAAATATTTTCTAAGGTACCATATTCTGAAACTCCTTTTCACATCAATCTGAGAAATGCAAAATATTCATGGTAAAAACGTCTGTATTATTTTGCTTTTTAAATAAATGTTAAATGCAAAAGAATCTAATTTTAATGAATGAATGAATGAGCTGGAATGTTGTTACGCTGAGGAAACTTACGAACAGAAAATTGTAACAGAAAATGTTTTATCCTTCCAAAAATATATTGTGTACACAGTTGCAGTCATACCTGGAAGGAGGAGGTCTTGTTGATGTGCAGTGTGTACACTCCAGATACATTGTAGCCTCCCACCTTCCGTACCTCATGACAGTCTGAAAGCAACAGCATGTGTTGGTATACCGGACAAAAAAAGTTAGGGATCATGGGGCTAATTTTGTTGTAAAGACTGAGCACATAATTTCATGTTATATATATATTGATAATAATTGTGTGGGGCATGGATGGCCCAGTGGTCTGAATTGCAGCCACTCATTGTGCAAAGTTGCTTCCCTTGCATGTGTCAGGATTCGCCGGTTGTGGGTTGAATCCCTGATTTGTCCGAGATATGATCTGTCAGCATGATGCCTATGTTTGTGGGTTTTACTCTCGTATCCCAATTGCTTGGATCGATGCTCTTTATATCACTGGATTATCACTGGATTATCACTGGACTCGATTATAGCTGAAATAATGCTGAGTGCGGCATTAGACAACAAACAAACTTGTGTGAACATCTACGACGTGTGTCTTTCATCCTACATTCATGCTAACATGACATGATACTGAAATACTTATGATGAACCCATCTCACAAACTCATGATTCCTTGTAAATAGTGATGTCACCTGTTCATGGACTTATTGAAAGAAAATAGAATCAACCAACAGCAACACTGAAATGTCTCCAAGTTAATTTTCTTCTGATATGAATAAAAAAAACAAACAAATTAAAAATAGATATGGACAGACCCCCCCCCCCCCCCCCCCAAAAAAGGTCTTGTAAATCCTTAATAAAAGAAAGAGTGAGTGAGTGAGTTGGGGTTATCGCAGCTTTTAACAGTATTACAGTTATATCGTGGCGTGTCAGCTTAATGTTGGTGGAAAGCCCGAAGTGACACAGGTCTCAGACGTTTACCACTTCGGTGAAACCCACGAGCACGGGTATGGTGCTGACAAACCTAGAAACATAATCGGTGTGAACTGGGATTCAAACCCACAATCATAGGTTTCTGACGTGGCCAAGGGACGCAACTCTGCACAGTCTTAGACGACTGGGCCACCAATGATAACAGAAAGAAGCCCGCAGGCACGGTTTGATAAAATTCAGTACACAGAACCCTACCTTTGGTAGATTTCAGTTGATGTACTCATCTTAATAATTTCTTACCTCCATTCCATATGATCTTTAGAGTGGTCATACTCTGTCACTTGGTTGACTGAGTGTCATCATACACCGAAGCCATGGATCGGTGCTCATAACATCAATCACTGGTGAATATTGCTGAGCATGGCGTTACACAACAAACAAATCTTACCTCCGTAGAGTAATTTGTCATGTTTGTTGAGTGCTTCATGGTGATGCTTGGGGCTGCTGTATCGGCTCGGGGACGAGCTGACAAGGCTGCCCAACATCCCGAGCCCCAGGAACAGTGAAACAGTCAACATAGCATACATCATAACACGGGGATACTTACAAGTGAAGTGTTATCAATTCTAGAACTAGAGGCTTTATACTTCCCTGTAAGTCAGCCGACATATTTCACAATATTGTCGTTCATTGTCCAGTGAGGATTTGAGATGGACAAGGGGAAATTGATACCCTCTGATGTGTTAGTACTCGCTAAATTGTGTACTTGAACTTTAGATAGCTGTATCTTTAAAGACCTTTGGCAGTGGGATTGGGAATACCCTTGTGTGGATAAGCCTGATGTATTGTTTGATTTTAACCTTGATAGTCATGTATAGTGGGATCTGGGGTGTCAGCTCACTTGGGTGTGGTGGGGGGGGGGGCTGATGGGTGGGGTGTCAGCTCATTTGGGTGGGGTGGGGGGTGATGGGTGGGGTGTCAGCTCACTTGAGAGGGGTTGGGGGAGGGGGGTGGCTGTGAGGGTGGAGGGATCATGACTATCTGTCACTGTGAGTTAGAATAGAACTAGTGTAGAACTAGCCTATCATGCTATCGCGCTCATGCTGTTAAACATAAGTTTGCCTGATCAAGATTATGTACAGACCAATGTAATATATGGATGTAATATTGACCTAACTGTGGCAAGGTACTACACTTACACTTCATACTTATATGTACAAGATAACGTTGATCCAGGAGATAACACAGCACGAAGAAATTCTGTAGCACACCTACTTGTTGATGCAAGCATCGATACTGTCATAAAGCTTACACATAGGTCTTCAGCAACCCATGCTTTCTGTAAAAGGCGACTATGCTTGTTGTAAGAGGCAACTAACGGGATAAGGTGGTCAGGCGCACTGACTTTGTTGATGTATGTCATCGTATCCCAATTGCGTGGATCGATGCTCATATCAATCACTGGATGGTCTGGTCCAGACTCTATTGTTTACAGACTGCCGTCATATAGCTGGAATGTTGCTGAGTGCGGTGTTAAACAACAAACGAACAAAAATCACATATGTAACCCAGAAAGTAAAACAAATTATAATTTGCACCACATTTGAGTTAAAATATATATGTAATATAAAAACAAAAACGAACATATCATAAAAATAAAACTAGTAATATGTTTTCACAACAATGGCTTCCCATACCTTTAATTGTTGTTATTTTTTATTCACTGAATGGACAGGCATAAAACCTCTTTTGTTGGCACATCATGTCAGCAAGATGTTTTGCATTGTCTAGAATTGAACAAACAATTTTGGCAGTGACACAATGGCTGGACGGAATGGCATAAAAAATGTTTTGTGTTATCTACAGTGGTAAAGTTATAAATATTTTTCATAATTAATATCTACAGTGGTAAAGTTATTAATATTTTTCGTAATGAATCTTTTCAAAGTAATAGTAACATTGTTGTTATATTATTTTAAGATGAACAGGATCAGTGGAGACATGCAGATATTGTTAAAATTGAAAGCCACAACGTTATGAGTGCGTAGTTTTTATATAACCATGAATTGTACTGTATGTTTACTCCTGTAGCCTGACCCGTGAATTATTCACATTGTACTACCTCTGCCCGCCTACCCCCATGACAGAGGTTGTCTCCCTTTGATCAATGAGCCCCACTAACACAAGCGTGTTTTGTGTAATATTTTACAGTTAGAAATGTTTTAAAACATATTTTCATGATTATTTATGTGTTTCGTATGTAGACATATCATTATTCATGGGCGAGATAAAGATAAGGTTTCTTCTTAAAGTTTGTCTACATCTTTCCAACTATTACTCATCCCACTGTAACTGTCTCAAACCAAAATCAAATAAAGCATGGCGCATGACCCCATGCAGTGACCCAGGTCAACACATTGAAAGTTGAGTATTAGGAGACAGTATCTCTATTTCACATTTACCATGCTGACACAAGTCCAGTCTGTGACATGGATTTTCATGCAGAGTTGCTTCCTTTGGCTGTGCCAGTCTGCTTACGTTGGGTTTGAAACTTACTGATTATGCTCCTTGGTCAGCACCATGGCCACGCTTGTGTGTGTTGTGGTTGTCTAGGACCAGCATCACTTTTCACACTAACCTGACTTCATGACTTGATTGCCATAGGGGCGGTCGGGTAGCCTACTGGTTAAAGCGTTCGCTTGTCACGCTGAAAACCTGGGTTCAATTCCCGACATGGGTACTTTGTGTGAAGCCCATTTCTGGTGTCCCCCGCCGTGATATTGCTGGAATATTGCTAAAAGAGGGGTAAAACCATATTCACTCACTCACTCACATGATTGCCAAACTGTTCAAAACATCATCGACCCAACCAACTCACAGGACATAACACAGTATCTAGATTTATCGGGTGGTCAGGCCCGCTGACTTGATTGATGCATGTCACCATATCCGAATCACGTAAATTGATGCTCATGATGTCAGTCACTGGATCGCATGGTCCAGACTTGATTTTTTACAGACCTCTGAAATTTATAGCTGGATTATTGCTGTGTGCGGCGCTAAACAACAAACAAGTAAACAAGAAGGCAATAAAACCTAGCGACACTTTTTTAAGATTTGACCTCTCTGTTCCAGACCTCACTTCACTACTACTCGAGCCTGAACGCAGTGCAGTACAAGCGGCGATGTTTCCTCCTCGAGCCAATCATGGGGTACCTCCATGCTCAGAGGTCCTTCTTCCAGATGGGTCAGGAGGCAGTCTGCAAACCAGAGATCGAAAACTTCCTCACAAACATAGCAGCAAGTGTTCAGAGGTAACGTATTAGTTGTCCTTTGCAGCAAGTTGAAGTAAATATGACTACAGCATAAGGCATAACTAAGTCCTCAAAATATTCTGCTTCAAAGGGTTCTATGTCATGCAGGGGCGGTCGGGTAGCCTAGTGGTTAAAGCGTTCGCTCGTCACGCCGAAAACTTGGGTTCGATTCTCGACTTGGGTACAATGTGTGAAGCCCATTTCTGGTGTCCACTGCCGTGATATTGCTGGAATATTGCGAAAAGCGGCGTAAAACCATACTCACTCACTCACTCACTCTATGTCATGCAAGTTCTATCTCTGAACTTAATTTGACTAGTAGTTTTTTAAAAGGCATTTAGAAGTGATACACATAAGGAAGAAAATTTTTGAATGTCAACTTCTTTATTATGAGGAACACAACATTTCGGAGTATGTACCTTCTCCTTCATCAGGTGAATAAATGCTATGAGGCAGAGAACATATATATGTACCTGTAAGAACAACACAAGTAATAAGATAACAATAGGTAACTTAACAAGGGAAGATAACAGATGATTGGCGCAGGTAGGTTATTAGCAATAGACAATGGAAGCCAACACTTTACAGTATTTAGCGCTGATAGTTGCAACTGGAAGCCAGGGCTTAAATATCACTGATTGGTTATTGGCAATGGACAGTGGGCAATCGTGAGGCAGGGGGTATTTAGCACTGATAGGTAAAAGAATGGACATAGCAATTGGCATATGGAAGCCAGCTAGGTAATGTTGTGTTCCTCATAATAAAGAAGTCGATATCTATAAATTCTCATCCTTAAATTTCACAAATTACGTGGATTCACTAGTGGTGCCTACACTTGTAATTTCCTTTTATTCTGAACACTTTTTGTAAAAGAGCTTCAGTTTCTCTAAACAGCAACAGGGCATCCTATTAAATCAGTGCAAAATGATGTAATTTACAGACTTCGATTGAGGTCAATACCTACTTTTATGGACCTGTAAAAAGCAGTAATGACCAAGGACGAAGTTTGGGATGGATATATTTTGGGGGAGGGTAAGACAAAACAGGTATTTACCTCATATGAAGTGTAAATGTTTTATAATGTAAGAAAGAGACAAATGCAGATTCAACATATCAAACTATGTTGGCTACAAGTATGTTAGGAGGTTCCAACAAACAGAGATTCTGATTGGCTTAGGTTAGGGGAATACCACTTCTGGGTTATTCCCATTCTATTTTTAGTTACTCAAGTCAAGTCTGTGAATTATCAGACCTGGCTTGGAGTCATGAATCTTTGTCGAATGACACATGGCCACTTCTTGGCCAATGAATTTGATGGAGAACTTTGCATTTTGTAATGAATGATATTGTCATTTGTTTTAATCATAGTGTGTTGAAAAATTTTGAAGGTCATGAACATGTGTGCTTTGTCTAGCTTAATAGCTGAAATACTGTTCAAAATGCTGTTACACCATAATCACTGACCTACTTTTGTTGACTTCTCACTACGTGGGTGTGTTCACATCATTTCAGTGTTCATCAGGAATTGTCAGCCGAAACTCAGAAGACGGTTGAGCTGATTGACACAATAGAGAAACAGAGCGCCCACCTCTACAATGCAGAGCCCCCGATAGATATGCCATTTATACCGCCCAACACAGCACTCACTCAGAAGGCAGGATATCTCTTTCAACGAATGTATGTACACAGTGGTCTCCCTTTTCATCACTTGATCAACATACCCGTGAAGATCCAGGGTAGAATAGGTCTTCATTCTTCAGCAACCCATGCTTACCGTAAACGGCGACTATGCTTGTCGTAAGAGGTGACTATGCTTGCCGTAAATGACGACTATGCTTGTCGTAAGAGGCGACTAACAGGATTGTGTGGTCAGGCTCGCTGACTTGGTTGATGCATGTCATCATATCCAAATTGTGTAGATCAAAGCTCATGATGTCAATCACTGGATTGTTTGGTCCAGACTCGATTATTTCCAGACTGCCGTCATATAGCTTGAATATTGCTGAGTGCGGCGTTAAACAACAAGCAAGCAAACTTTGATCAACAAATGATTGGTTCACCAAACAAATATCTGAAACCCATGATTGACTATTTTCCAGATTTATTTGTTATTTCTTTGGGGAAATTTCAAGGAATGTTGCAGATGCAGTGATATCTTTCCATTAGACAGACATGCCAGTGGCAGAGATGCTATCCATTATGATGTTAAGCCTATAACTACACTGTTAGGCTTGTCCTCCCCCCAAATTATGATTTTTGTCATTTTTTTCTGCCGGCTGTAGAAACTTAAACAAAGTTTATCAGCTTAGAGCTAAGAATGACTGCACATTTTAGCTGCTACCTGGGAATGACATGCCTAAAAGTTGCGACTAAAACGGTCGCCAATGCGACCAAAATTTGAGTTGGCTACTGTCTAAAATTCAAAGGTAGCCAAATGACTACCTTGATAAATATCTTGTGGCGACTAAATTCTATTGCTACACATCTGTAGACACAAAAATAAATAACAGTGGATCTTGGAAAACACGTCTGCTAATAATTGTACATGCAAATAATTCCTCCTAAAGTTGACAATGAACCAAAATACATAAATATTAATGTAATCAGTACTTTATTTAAGTTGACAATGCTCAATGGATAAGCAAGGATATGCCTATATGATAAAGTAACATAAATTGTATCATTGTTTGAGTCACAAATAACAAAAATCAAGTACAGTATCCACTTATATACAATTCCAAGATGAGTGCTATAACTTGTACATATTAAAATAGTTATTTGATAAAAGATAATTTCAAATGCTTTTGGTTACCCACAATATTGGCTTGACTTCTTGATTTTAACACTGGCTACCTGGAAAAAAAATACTTGTGGCCATATGGCTACTTGGTGAAAATTTAAACTTAAAGGCCTATATGATAGTGGCGTGGTCAAAGAACACCTGACCCTGAGAAAACTCAGGTGATATTTGACAGTCATAGGCTCTGAGTTTTCCTTATTTAATCTTCAAAGATGAAACATAACTTCCTTCCTATTTCTGCTGAAATTGAAACAGTTTATAATAATTGGAGCCTCAGTTCCTGGTCACGTGATGATAATCAAGGTGATCAAGAAATTGATTCAAGTAACTAAAATAGCAATACTTCCCTGTGATACCCTTTTCCTGTTTGCAAGCATTGTAGGTTAGTTAGGTGATAAGTATGAATGAAGCTATAAACCTGATTAGCAATGATCCATTGCTACAGTAGGTGCTGTCTTAGTCAGTTTCACTGACAATAGGACCTGTGAAGAGCCAGGTTAGAATAGGTCTTCAGCAACCCATGCTTGTCTCCCTAAGTGAAGATCCCGGGTGAGAATAGGTCTTCAGCAACCCATGCTTGTCTCCCCCAGTGAAGATCCTGGGTTAGAATAGGTCTTCAGCAACCCATGCTTGTCTCCCCAAGTGAAGATCCCAGGTTAGAATAGGTCTTCAGCAACCCATGCTTGTCTCCCCCAGTGAAGATCCCGGGTTAGAATAGGTCTTCAGCAACCCATGCTTGTCTCCCCCAGTGAAGATCCCGGGTTAGAATAGGTCTTCAGCAACCCATGCTTGTCTCCACCAGTGAAGATCCCAGGTTAGAATAGGTCTTCAGCAACCCATGCTTGTCTCCTCCAGTGAAGATCCCGGGTTAGAATAGGCCTTCAGCAACCCATGCTTGTCTCCCCCAGTGAAGATCCCGGGTTAGAATAGGCCTTCAGCAACCCATGCTTGCTATAAAAGGTGACTATGCTTGTCGTAAGAGGCGACATGGGATCGGGTCATCATATCCCAATTGCGTAGATTGATGCTCATGATGTCAGTCACTGGATTGACTGGACCAGACTCAATATTTACAGACTGCCGTCATATAGCTGGAATATTGCTGAGTGCAGCGTTAAACAATAAACAAACAAACAAACAAACACTGACAACAGGGTGAACGATTACTTGTCTGACATTTCTGACCAATGGGAGTGAACCCTGACAAACCCTGAGAACAAATACCTATACAACTGTTACAATAAACTTCTATACAGCCTCAGTTCCAGCACTATTAACAGCATACCTGTTGTTACCTTGCCTGTTACGAGGGGGGGCGATTCGCTGTGCAGAGTTGCATCCCTTGGGCATGCCAGAAACTTATGATTGTGGATTCGAATCCCAGTTCACCCTGGTTATGTTTCTAGGTTTGTCAGCGACATACCTGTGCTCGTGGGTTTCACCAAAGTGGTCAATGCATCACATTGAGCTTTCCTCCCACATTAAGCTGACATGCTGCGATATAACTGGAATAGTGTCAAAAGCGACCTTAAACCAAACTCACTCACTCACTCACTATTACGGGGTATTAAGGGGATGAAACAAGAACTGGTCGTCTTGGTGTCAGTGTACTGAGTATCCATGTTAAAACCTCTGGCATGGTATCTCAGGGGGCTAGCACCATAAAACCAGCATTAGTCCTGACTAGTACAAGCAGCCACAGACACATATAGAAGATTCATCACGAGTGTTTTTTAATATACCGATTAACGGGACGAGGTTGATATTTCCCATATTAAAAAAACATGAGTGATGAATTCTATTTATCATTTTCACATTTTTGCTTCCCAATTAAGGAATAATTGCATTAAACATTAACATCAGCAACTTGTCGAAATCTTACGTATAGATCGTGTGTAGTGATACATGTTTTCCTTGGCCGTGTAAACCAAAATAAACAACCTCTTAACTCCTTTATGACATATTCCTTCGCTGAGAAAAAAAGTTCCTCGGATTATTTTAAACAAAATACTTGAACAGACTTTTGCAGAATAATTGAAATAATGTCTCCAACATCAAAGGTATCCATGTTGTTTGTAAACACCTACTCACGTGCACCGGCGAAAAAAGTCCCACTTCCGGTTATCTAATTTGCATATCTAATTTGCATACTTATGTCATTGGGGTATGACATACATGTTTTTATGTCATAAGCTTATGTCATGGATAAATGCTTTAGTTAAATGATAAACGCACATACCCTATATAGGTGCAACAATTGTGAACACATTACAGCATCAGAAATTGGCACAAGTCCTGTAGTCCTTACCAAACTGACCAATAGTAAAGGTATCCTAAGGACTTGTAGAAATTGTCCCATTTTAAGGGTTTTGCTATATGTTGTCATTATAAGGACTAGTGGACAAAAACTGTTAGTTTCTAGCCCTGACATTACTAAACCCCTCACCTGATGTTGTCTATTACAGCAAGCAAGCCCTCATCACCACTAAATGGGATCGAGTGTATTTCTTCACGCAAGGCGGCAATCTGATGAGTCAGGCGAAGGAAGAGGTAGGTGTACCAGAGTGCTGTACATCTCACAGTGTTGGCAGTGATCAACTCTAGCATCTAAGTAACACTAATCACTGACCCTGGTGTTGTTGCTTTTGTTGATTTCACTGTCTAACTTCTCAAACTGACAAACACTATGTGAACTCCTATAGTTGTAACATAGCATGATTTTCACTGACAACATTGGTATTCTAGAGTAGGTGCTTACACTAATCTCTGTGACCAAGTTTTCTAACTTCCTTTGAGTTTCTTATCCTTTATCCTTGATAATTCATTATAAGAAGATCTTATGTGTCTTATTAACACATCTTTAAAAGGTTGTCACTTTGTGATTGAAAGTTTGTCATATATTTTATTCCTTGTGAGAGGTTGCAGATTCTATTTGTCCTTGAAATTTGCTTGCCTGAGGTTGCAGTTTCTGATATAACCTTGACCTTCTCTTGCTCTGTTGACCTCTCTAGGTCAGTAGCGTAGGCTCTGTCGATGTAAGTACATGCTCTAGTCAAGGATTTCATTTCAACCCTCCCTGTGCTTGCTAGACATTAATAGCTGAACTGCAATTTGGAAAACATATAACTTCTCTGTATAAAAAAATAATTTTTGTAAGGATTTTATGTCATTTCAAAATCTTATATTTCTCAAGTAACTGAAATGTTTACTGAAATCCAATCATATGTTTAGAAGGGTTACACAAAGAAGACATGAACCTTTATGGATGATGTCTTTGTTATTTTTCATTCACCGGATGAAGCGGGCAGGAAGTATAGCCCTGAACATCGTTACAACAATAAGTTGTTATCCATAAACATGTCGGTCTTCATGCTCTTCCAACTACTAATTCCCCATCTATAGTCTGGAAGGTAATTTAAGGTAACGACATTTACTACAATATCTGAAAAACTATCGGACCTACTCCAGTCAAAGATGGTGTGAGCTTATTAAACAGTCATACATAACTGGATATTACATTTAAAGACAATCGGACAGTTGAACCAATCAACTCAACTCGAAAGGGTGACACGGGAATCACACACGCACGAATACGGTGTTAGCGTTGGGCGTCTCAACGTGCGTGATTCCTGTGCACCCTTTCGAGTTGAGTTGATTTGTTCAACTGTGTCATATGGCCCTGTGACGTGAGGGTAGCATTATGCAGATGGCTGTTACAATGAATGCTCGTTCCACCCATCACGAACAGGTCTGGTTGTTGATGAAATATAGTGATAGCTAAATAGACAGATTTTTTATTCATGCACCGATTGTCTTTAAATGTAATATCCAGTTATGTATGACTGTTGAATAATCTCATACCAATTTAACTTTGACTGGAGTAGGTCCAATAGTTTTTCAGATATTGTAGTAAACGTCGGTACCTTAAATTACCTTCCAGACTATAAGACTCAGTCACACAATGATGGGGAGAAAGAATGTCTTGGTTGAGTTAGAATGGCTTGGTAGAGTTATCTCCCTTCTGTTACTGAAGTTTCCTTTGTTAGATTATATTATTACGATATACATGTAGTTGATTTCATAAGCAACTGATATGACTTCTAAAGATATCATTACCCTTTGAATATTATTGGCAGTTCAACTCTTAATGATTTTCCCAGAGTTACCACAGACCAAATAGTGTTCATTTCAATATGATTTCCTATAATCATTAATCATAGTTTATATTTATGTCAGAATGTATAATTATTCTTTATTTCAGTGGCGTTTCATTGTATTATTGATAATTTGATAGATGCATGCACACTGGAAAATTATTTCAACAGTTGAAAATGTGTAATTGATTAACTATTTTAACCATTTAACTCCGAGGATATTTATGTTCATGTTAAGATGTCAATGTGTCATCAGTCATCAGTGACTTGTGACTTGTCAGCAGTATTGTGTTAAGTCTTCCTGCAAGTGTTCAACCCCCATTTCCCCCACAGTGCACACAATAAAACCATGGCAACTGGTAAACAAGCTGTGAAAATTGCTTTTCTTTGCTTGGTAAATAGTTCATGATGCTAGTGTAACCTGCAGGACAGTCCGCTCAGTTGATAGGGACATTAATTGCAAGGTGCACAGTATTATCACCAATTCAGTGTACTGGTAAATGACATGGGGAGATCAAGATGCAGAGCAGTCCATTTAGTTGTAATAGGGAGATCAAGATGTAGAGCAGTCCATTCATCCTTCTGACATGGGGAGATCAACGTGAAGAGCCATCCGTTTTGATGACATGGGAGATCAAATTTTGAAACAGTCCATTCTGTTGACATAGGGTGATCAAACTAGGGAGATGGAGAGCTGTCCATTTTGGGGGCAATTTGGGGGGCATGAGAATATTTAGTCATAGAACTATCCATTCAGTTGACATTGAAAGATCCAAGTGTATTAAAAGTAGCATGAAATATCTGCATGATCTGTTGCAAGTTTGATTTTTTTCAAAGTTTGTTTGCCAGTAAATACCATGAGTGCCTTTGTTCCCTAACTATGCAGAGGAAATATTTCAACTTGGTTTCTAAGTGTTATTACAAGGGTAAGAAGAATTAAAAGATTTGTAATATATGTGATGTGAAATGTTTGAAATTGTTGTGTTCATATACAGTGAAAAGACAGGGCTTTATTTTTGTTTCTGTTTACTTAGCATGCACATATAGTGTAACCATGGTAATTTGTCATTGTACAGTGTTCTCTTTATCAAAGAGTTACATAGAATTCTAGGTATGCTGTGAGTGAGTGAGTAAATGAGTGAGGTGGGTTTAATGCCGCTTTGAAAGTATTCCAGTCATATGACGGCGTGTCAGCTTAATGTTGGAGGAAAGCCTGAAGTGATGCCATTCTCAGACGTTTACCACTTTGGTGAATAGTGCTGACAAACGTAGAAACATAATCTGAGAGAACCGGGGTTTGAACCCACGATCTCAGGTTTTGAGCATTCCAAAGGGATGAATTGGGGCACCTTTGATGGCTGGGCCGCCTGTGCCCCTGGTATGCTTGCATGTCATGTCAATGTTAACAATTGAGAACATCCTGCTTTCATTTTCAAAGTAATCGTTATAAAGGAAATCAAAACTGAATCCTTTCTGTTTTAAGTATGAAAGTTCTTAAATATGTACTGGGTTGAATACATCAAGCACCTGCTAGATACAGGACGATTATGTGCAGTGACACTCTGTGTTCCCAACTGTCTCAGTGATGTCATCTACCGTAGATTACCACTTTTATGCGTCATGGATATTGAATTAAATCTCTCTGTAGATATGTATATTCCAGAGGGTAATCATACCAGGGTTTGTGTTACAGTTAAAACAGGGTCCAGATTTATGAGGTTTCACTGTAATGAGTAGGGCTAAAAATGTTTGTTTTGTAAAATCAGGACTCTCCCATATCACACAGTTTACAATTAAGCATTTGACATCTTTTATTAGGTTAGAAAGGGAACCATATTATTCAAGGCTTAGAAATTCACACTAGCCTGCTAGCTCGAGACTACTAAATTGTGCTGAGGACAATGAAATTTCCATTCATGGTAGTCCTCATTTGCTAGTAGCATTTAAGGTCAGTAATTCTGAACCAGTTCTCAATGCTTCAGTTTTGCTACAAATTTGGACTGAAGAAAACTGACAATAAGAAGTCTGTTTTCGTAAATCTAAACGTTATTCCATCACAATAGTTTATGTGAGATGTTATCGATGACACAATTTTCATATCGATAATCGTTGGTATTTCTTCCCATCGACAATAATTCTGATTATCGATTTGTTTTGCCAGCCCTAGCTTTTAGCAATATTTCAGTTATGTCACACCATGTTAGCTTGATGTGTGAGGAAAGCTCGAAGTGATGCAGGTCTTTGATTTGGTTTTCAAGTTGGTAAAACCAACGAGCACAGGTATGGTACTGACACACCTAAAAACAACCCAGAATACACAGGATTCAGGTCATGGGTTTCCTGCACGCATAGGGGATGCAACAGCGAATTGCCTTGACTTGAGTGAGTGAGTGAGTGAGTTTGGTTTAACGCCGCTTTTAACAATATTCCAGTTATATGTGGGAGGAAAGCCCGAAGCGATGCAGGTGTCAGACGTTTACCACTTTGGTGAAACCCACGAGCACGGGTATAGTGCAGACAAACCTAGAAACATAATCGGGGTGAACTGGGTTTCGAAGCAACAATCATAGGTTTCTGGCATGCCGAAGGGGCGCAACTCTGCACAACGAATTGCGGCGCCTTAGATGACTGGGCCACCCGTGCCCTCGTCTTGACCTGATGATTTGGCTACCTTAATTATTCTCTAAGATTCCCTCTATGCCTCCATCATGGTGGATGAAAATGAAACATCTTTCTGTGCAGGGTGACATCTATTGTTTGTAAGTTGGAATCCCTCTTGATTATGACCCTTGGTCTGTCAGCACTGAACCTGTGCTGGTATGCTTCACTGAAGTAGTTAACATCTATGGTCTGCATCAGTCTGGATTTGATGCACACATGGTGGTTCTGTTTACAGCACATGTCAGAAATCAGGTGAAGTTAAGCAACTTTTGTCGTCAGAGAGTCCTTGGATGGGTGACAGTGTTTGGCAGTTTGGCTCCTGAGAGTTTCTAGAGCTTTTGTTCTGCCCCACACTGAAGCATATGTAACACATGTGGTGTCTCCTTGGGCAAAGGGCTTTGTTCGAAATGTGCCTGTGTTCACCAAGCAGTAAATGGGAACCTGGTAGGATGAGATGTTAAGGTGACTCTTAACATTCTAGCACCTCACAGGCAGCTTTGGTTGTATTCTCCCCAGGAAGCTGAGAATGAAAATCGAGTGCTGATACATTTCATGCAATATAAATGGGATCATTATTATTGTCTTTTTAGATTATTCATTAGCTAGATTGTATATGTGATTATTAATGAACTTAAAAACATGCATAATGTCACATTGTAATTGCTAATGCACAGTCTAAAAGCTAGAAGCTGAAGTTGTGAAATATTATCCAGGATAACATTGATTTCATTGAAAAACTCTTGTTTCAACCGTGGCAGGGTTGACTCATGTGCCATTGAGAAGCTTTTGTTTCAACCGTGACAGGGTTGACTCATGTGCCATTGAGAAGCTCTTGTTTCAACCGTGACAGGGTTGATTCATGTGCCATTGAGAAGCTCTTTGTTTCAACTGTGACAGGGTTGACTCATGTGCCATTGAGAAGTTCTTGTTTCAACCGTGACAGGGTTGACTCATGTGCCATTGAGAAGTTCTTGTTTCAACCGTGACAGGGTTGATTCATGTGCCATTGAGAAGTTCTTGTTTCAACCGTGACAGGGTTGACTCATGTGCCATTGAGAAGCTCTTGTTTCAACTGTGACAGGGTTGACTCATGTGCCATTGAGAAGCTCTTGTTTCAACCGTGGCAGGGTTGACTCATGTGGCATTGAGAAGTTCTTGTTTCAACCGTGACAGGGTTGACTCATGTGCCATTGAAAAGTTCTTGTTTCAACTGTGACAGGGTTGACTCATGTGCCATTGAGAAGTTCTTGTTTCAACTGTGACAGGGTTGACTCATGTGCCATTGAGAAGCTCTTGTTTCAACCATGACAGGGTTGACTCATCTGCCATTGAGAAGCTCTTGTTTCAACCGTGACAGGGTTGACTCATGTGCCATTGAGAAGTTCTTGTTTCAACTGTGACCGGGTTGACTCATGTGCCATTGAGAAGCTCTTGTTTCAACCATGACAGGGTTGACTCATCTGCCATTGTGAAGCTCTTGTTTCAACCGTGATAGGGTTGACTCATGTGCCATTGAGAAGCTCTTGTTTCAACCGTGACAGGGTTGACTCATGTGCCATTGAGAAGCTCTTGTTTCAACCATGACAGGGTTGACTCATCTGCCATTGTGAAGCTCTTGTTTCAACCATGACAGGGTTGACTCATCTGCCATTGTGAAGCTCTTGTTTCAACCGTGATAGGGTTGACTCATGTGCCATTGAGAAGTTCTTGTTTCAACCGTGATAGGGTTGACTCATCTGCCATTGTGAAGCTCTTGTTTCAACCGTGATAGGGTTGACTTATGGATGTCAACTTCTTTATCCTTTTGGGGGATGTAGTGGCCTCATGTAAATCACGGCTATTTTCTGTAATAAAAATACCCAGTAATCCCCCTCCACATCCACCCCCAAACCTTCTTTATTCTTTCAATGCAACAATGCATTGAAAGAATACAAAAGGTGTAATCCTTGTCACTCCCATCTTCCCAAGCAAGGGAGTTTACTGACTAAAAAGTCCAGTTTCCACCCTTGCCGAAACTAGGCTGTAATTTCCAGGCTCGATCGTAGCACCACCAATGGCTATTACGAGTCATGTCCCTGCTATGTCCCTCCTACTGACCAATATGATTCCATCTCTCAAATCACTTGCATTTGCTTCAAACAAAATGGCAGCACCCAGTCAAGATGATCTGATCGATAATCAAGATCTATATTGTGATCAAACGGAAGTGCATCAAATCACATGAGCACCTTGTTTAAAAACATGAAAAGATTTTCAAAATATCTGTCGACACCCAGTTGATGGTACAAATCTGCAGTTGAAATCCATGTTGTTTACGAACTGGATGTCTAGATGTTGGTTGGACTATGTATAGACTTGTTAGTCAAGCCAAAATGTAACTCTTGAATTCCAGCCTAGTTAGGCAAGTGTGGAAACTGGACTGTTATGGTCAGTTCACGCCCTTGCCTCGGAAAGATGTGTCACTCCTGTCACGATTGATTTTGTTTCCACTGTTCTCAAACGAAACTGTTTCTGGTCCTGTCCGACTTATCAAGGGGTTTATATTTCAGTTTGCTGGTAGTCTTGTTATTGATCTCAATGAGGACGGTGTGATGGCTGAGCCGGCGAATTCGGACGATCGCAGATTTGTGTTTCAAGTTGTCAGTCAAGGCAGCAAGAAGTGAGTGACATTAGTATAACGGTAATGCTATTTTTCAGGGCATTATCATTTGCAGAAGCCTGAGGTGTTCCATTAACTGCCCAACGAAGGAGGGCAGTTGAAAAGACTGAGGGCTTCTGCAAATGATAATGCCCTGAAAAATAGTGTTACCGTTATTGTAGCTAAAATGGATGGAATTTGTTATCAAATAAAAAGAAACAACAATATCGGTTTTCAAACATTTACTGCAATCAACACGAATGTCACTGACCCACTTTTACAAGTATGAAAATGCCATAGAACAAATCAGATGACGTCACTTATCCCTATCTATGACATCACCTAACAACGGGCGTGATAATGGTCGGTCGTCAAGCAATATGAGGACATTAACAAGTTACAGTGACCCACTCATTTCTGATAACGTGCAGGCGGTTTAATGATAATTCTGTCCATTTTAGCTATAATGATGATTACAAGTTCAAGTGATGCATTTTCAGGACTAGAATGTGGTGTTTAAACCACAGGCCAGCCAGGTTATAACAGAATAAAGCCTCTCTGATGTGTTGAATGTTTGGTTCACATTGTGGTCATGGTATTTACATGAAATGACTGCCTCTGTGGTCTGGTGGATAAAGCACCTGCCTTTGGAGTAAAAGGTCAGGGGTTTGATCCCCAGTTGTGTCATACCAAGAAACGTAATAAAGTGGTACTTGTTGTTGCCCTGCCTGTCATTCTGCATTAACAGGATCGACAAAGGACTGGTTAGGTCAGTGTCCGTATAATGTGGAGTATTGATGTTAAAACTGCCGGGGGAGCCAAAGGTCAGGGGTTTGATCCCCGGCTGTGTTAAACCAAGAAATGTAATAAAGTGGTACTTGCTGTTGCCCTGCCTGTCATTCTGAATTAAAGGGATCGACTAAGGACTGGTCAGGTCAGAGTCAGTATAATGTGGAGTATTCATGTTAAAACTGCCAGGGGGGGCCAAAGATCAGGGGTTTTACCCCGGTTGTGTCATACCGAGAAACATAATGAAGTGGTACTTGTTGCCCTTCCTGTCATTCTGAAGTATGGGGATAGACTAAAGGTCAGAGTCCGTATAATGTGGAGTTTGGATGTTAAAACTTCCCGGGAGCCACGAGCAACAAGTGGTACTTGTTGCCCTTCCTGTCATTCTACATTAACAGGATAATCTAAGGACTGGTTGGCTCAGTCAGTGTAATGTGGGGTATTGATGTTAAAACTGCGGCATGGTATCTCACTGGGCTAGCCCATGGTACATCACCTGAATAGAATTGCTGGAATTTTGCTAAAAGTGGTGTAAAAATACATGTATTACATATAAATAAATAGGGCTGTATATTAAACATATTATAACCTTGTAAACCTTGGTTCTGACGGATCATGAGTTGTATCATCTTTAAGAGGATGTATTGAGTTAATGGAGAATTAATTCAAATTTCAAGATAGACACAATTTTATGGATAACAACTTCTTTAATACTGTGAAAAGCGACGTTTCGGTATAGGTCCTTATACCGTTGTCAAGTCTTGCTTTTCATAGTATTAAAGAAGTTGTTATCCTTAAAATTGTGTCTATCTTGTCATCCGTTAACTTCTAAGTAATGCCTATCAAACAATTTATAATTCAAATTTATTTCTTGTCCGCCAAAGTTTGCTGTTAGGCAGCCTTATGAGAGATTTAAAACATCAGCGGATCAAGTCTTAGATTACCTGGGACACCTGTGTTGCCAGCAATGTGGTGACTTGTGTTTTAATACCTGTCCTTTTTTCTCAGAGCTGTTGTTCTTCAAGCAGAAAACTTTAGGGAAAGGGATGAGGTGAGTAGACAGATGAAGATATGTCCATGTACATGAGTACTGCAATTTAAAAGGAAGTGTCTTTTACATCTCTTTAATTTCTTTGAATTATAAGCTTGATTAGATACTATTCAAAAGAAGTTAAAGAAGATCTAATTCTTTCATATTAATACAGTTAATCTGTCATGCCATGACAGATTAACTACAGAAATATGAAAAAATCAGTGTTCTTTAACTTCTCTATAGTATTGAAAGCACCCAGGGTATTGCAACAAAACTGGACAATTTCAATGCATAATTACATAGTGTTTGAAATTAAGCATGAAAGAATTCCTTGTCATATCCCTTATTAAGATTTAAGAGGTTCTTAGATTCAAATACCATGAGAGAAGAACTCAAGGACCCTGGGACACCCCTTAAGACTGGATAGACCCATGAAGTTCCGGGGTAGAATAGGTCTTCAGCAACCCATGTTTGCCGTAAAAGGCGACTATGCTTGTCGTAAGAGGCGACCAACGGGATCGGGTTGTCAGGCTCACTGACTTTGTTGATGCATGTCATCATATCCCAATTGCGTGGGTCGATGCTCATGATATCAATCCCTGGATTGTCTGATCCAGACTCGATTATTTTCAGACCTCCGTCATATAGCTGTAATATTGCTGAGTGCAGCGTTAAACAACAAACAAACAAACAAACTGAATTATCTCCAATTTTTGGCATCTTTGTATTCCCTAAATGTTCCAACAACAATATCTTCCAAATCTTAAAATGTGATTATATGAAAACTATGTTCATCCTTTCCTTCAGTGGATTGCAACAATTAACAACATTGTAAAAGACAGCGGATATGTCCGAGGCAAAGCTGCTTCCAAAAAAAAGGTAAGCCATTTAACATTTTGATGGCAGTGATTAATTCTTCAGCACTAATAGATATTTTAACATAGGATCTTTATTGCCAGACTCACACATGAGCTAACCGCCTCCGTGGTCTAGTGGTAGAGCGTCCGCCCGGAGAGCGGAAGGTCCGGGGTTCGATCCCCGGCCCCGTCATACCAAAAGACGTTAAAAGATGGTACTTCTTGTTACCCTGTCTGGCGCTGGGCATAAAGGGGCTAAAACAAGGACTGGTCTACAACTACATAATCCTAAGTCTAATCCACAATCTAACACAACAATATTACTCAAACAGTATCTACTGCGAGCAGCTCTACTATACAAATAATTGCCTGAAGACCACCATTTTACTATCCGGGTAAACCTAATGTTACTCCAAGTGCGGTCGGGTAGCCTACTGGTTAAAGCGTTCGCTTGTCACGCCAAAGACCCGGGTTCGATTCCCAACATGGGTACAATGTGTGAAGCCCATTTCTTGTGTCCCCCGCCGTGATATTGCTGGAATATTGCTAAAAGCGGCGTAAAACCTTACTCACTCCCTAATGTTACCCCTAGCTCTACCCTGGAGTTCCTGCTACGATTGGACCGTGTCCAAGCCAAAGACTGAAGGTCAAATGCCCCAGACTGCAGCTTGTGCAGTCCTCTGCACCAATGAGGTCACAGCTCATGTAGTCCGCCCACTGCAGCTCTCCATTTGAAGTCCCAGACTGGTGATTTGTAATATTAGATCAAACTAATGAAGATAGCTAGTTTTCCTTTTCCGGGTTCTATATCTTTTCAAGTCCAGGGTACTCTTAGTAATAATTTTGTGGGGTCCAAAACGTAGGGGGCCCAGACTGGTGACATGTGTCACGCTTCAATTAATTATTCCAAAGAATATTATAGATCTCACATCACTGCGCTTGTTCAAACACATTGATCCTGTGATAGATTGGGATGTCAATTGGACTGGTAATTCATGTGACTGGACCGGCAAATAAAGTACCTTATAAATCTTTGTTGTTGAACCTAACATCAAGGATATTTTTCAAACAAAGTCAGCTTGTCTGTCACCATCAGGGTTTCCCCTTGTCAATTTTAGTGCAAGGAAGTAACATTTTGCCTTGTTTCGAGGTTAAATATATATTTTAAGCGACTTAGTGTAAAAATATTTTTAAAAAGGAGAAATTCGTGACTGTACTTTGTGTGAATGACATGTTGATCTAACTAAGTTACTGCAAAGATGGGGTCATTACATTGAACTTGATGTTGTAGGAATTAAAATAAGGTAATTTTCATACGTCTTTTTATTTTTTGAAAGTTGGGACTGACGAAAATTAGTGGGGACTGGTAGTTTTTAGTTTTTAGTTCAGTTTCAAAAGCCAGCAGGAACACTGATTTTATTTACGGCCATTCTTAATTTGTCAGACTGTATGCATTCAATATTTTGTGACCAGTACTACCCAGGAGTGACCTGCAGGCTTTGGTCTCAGTGTTCTGGCAATATGGACGATGCTATCAAGCTGGTGGCTGTTATGCCTGCAATATTAGTGGTGTCATGATGAACGATATATACTGATCCATCCAAATGTACACCTGATGACACAACACACGATAATTTAATCAATTTGAAATGTTATTTTAACAAACTGGCAGTAACAACTTTTTGTTAGCCATTCATGGAACATGGAGAATGGTAGTCATAAAATGTGCAAATCAGGTTTTTGTATTGTGACTCAAGTGTTGCAATATGTATTATGCAATGATATATACAGTGCAACCTTGTTAGTTCAGAAACCTTTAATCCGGAAACCCTGTTTTCCAAGAGATAATTGTGTTGAACATCTTTACATAACTAAATATGTTACTACGTACCCATGATTCGTTTTTCGAGAAATTCGAAGATTTTACTGGGAAAGGTACTGTCCGGATTTGCAGGGTTTCACTGTAACTGGAATATGTCACACTCATGCACTGTCTGTAATGTCAGTGATGAATTTTGAAGCAGAAAAGGGGTATGGGTTACCCAGCATCTAAAATGCTGTAGTTGTCTTTTCAGAGTTGCTTCCCTTAGTAATGCAGACAAAAAGTCTCCAACGTTATCTGCGAGTGTTATATTATAAACAAATTACCAGTAATTATGTGTTGCACTCTTTTTTTATGTACTCAAACAGCTATAAGTCTAAAAAGGTATTCAGCCACAATGAAAAGACCAGAGGATATCTGGTTTTCTAATCCCATTCACCGCCTCCGTGGTCTAGTGGTAGAGCGATCCCCGGCCGCGTCATACTAAAAGATGGTACTTGTTGTTACCCTGTCTGGCGCTCAGCATTAAAGGGCTAAAACAAGGACTGGTCGGCTCGGAGTCAGTATACTGTGTCTGACTGGGGTATTCATGTTAAACTGCGGCATGGTATCTCAGTGTGCTAGCACTATAAATCGGCATCAGTCCTGACTAGTACAAGCAGCCACACACACACACGTACATGCACGTCGCTATATAAGTGCAATAATCTTGGACGCGACGTTAAACCCAATTTCACCTCACCTCACCTCTAATCCCATTCAGCAAAGTTTCTCAACCAATAACATTGCAGCATACATACCTTTCATCTCACAATTCTTTATTTTTCGTTTCGTCCATCTCAGGAGCAACAAGCCATGCTGACCAAGACCCAGTCTACAGATTCGGCTTCAGCTCAAGAGAAATCAAGTCCTGTTCGGTAGGAATAATAATTACCATTGTTCTTCTGAAGATCATTTAAATCATGTTGCCTTCTTTGTTCAAAATTTCTTTCTTTTTACATCTCACACAGCTGCAGTTATGCACACATTTTGATGTTTCATTTTGACTTGATCAAGATCCACAAGTAGTCCATCAGCGTTGTCTTGTACAACAGAGGTGTAACAACACGGCAGGGCACTGTACTCTGGGTGCGATACGATTCGTATCCCCATACAGTAATTGTATTTCCTATGTTGGTATTCTTTCTTTTTGCAGGTGTATCCCAACCCCATATCATTTGTTTCTTAATTTCAGAAATCAAAGAGGGGTATGGTAGGGCAGAAACATATAGGCTAGAGGTCACCGTGAATGTGATGCTATTTATAGAAAACCAGGAAGTACTAGAGAATCGGCGTAAGCTGGTTGTTCAACACTTTAATTTAGCATTTAGATCTGTTATTATTCATGTGCTTTTACGCCAGTATAACATGTGATGTAGTGTACGTATGTATCGGGATATAGGGGTTATAAATGTATGTATTGTATCATGGACCTTGTATCAGGATACCATTCTGTATCGCCGTATCGTTACACCACTATTGTACATGCTACAAAGAGATACAAAACTGTCATGTGATTGAGCTGGTTTGACTATTGTGATTCTATTGTAAGCCTTGTCAGTGTTGGGAATAAATAGATCTGTGTTATTGTGGAATTCCTGAATGTTATTGGGAAATATTGCTAGATTTCCCTCTGCATGTGTGGTGTGAAGTTTGTGTCCTCGTAAGGTCAGTAATGTTTTCAGGAAAATGTTATTTGGATGTTGAATTGTAAATTCTTATACCTTTATACCAAGTTTTGCTTAATATAGAATCAATCACTTTAACATCATTTTACATAGATGCTTTACATTAATCCTGTTCAAATATCTTTCAGCATTAATATTTTTAAAATGAAGCATTTATTCTCATTAAATCAGTCATCAGAAATATTTGAAGACTTTTTCGCAAATGAAACAAAGGCAATGGTTTCATTGCTGTGATTTTTGAAATGATTTTTTAGATTATTAATTATTATAGCTGCCAGAAGACTAACTGCATGTATTCTTTTGTTGTGTGTTGTAATTGTAGTGCTGATTTTAGTCTTTTATTTCATTTCTGCCAATCAGTGCCAATCATTCCCAATCATCAACACCCGCTGCCACCCCGACGGACAATTTTGTAATCGACACCCCAATACAGTTTGACTTGGTGTCACCTTCTGATGAGAATCGCCAAGTTACATCGCCCCAAACCGGTCCGCCAAAGTTAGTATTGTTAATGACTTACTTCTCACACCCTGGTATGGTTTGTATGGCAACAATGTTGATCTGACAATATCTGTGTCACGAACTCATGTTTGTATTTGTTCTTAGATTTAACAAGTGTCGTTTTGTTTTTAAGGATAAGGTTTTATGAGCACCATTTCTAAAATTTTAATTCTAAAATTTTAATTTAATATGCAATTTTGCAATTATGTTTATTGCATGTGTATTTTCGGTGTCATGTGATCTCGGTGATCAGCTGATAATGTTTTTTGAGATGGGGAAAACATTGTGTCATTGGAAAACTTGAGTTTATTAAAAATGGAGGCAAATTTTGGGAGCCATGCTTTACTGCGCATGAGGTGCCTAAACGCCAGCACACAATCACTAGATCGCTGACTTTGTGTGTTGGCGATTAGGTGTCTCACTCTGGCAGTGTGGGTTCGAATCCAGCACGGGACTCAACCCCCCAAAAAAGTATGACAATCTGTACTTTACTAAGAAAGTGTTATCCCAACTATAACATTTGTTATAATCCTGAAAATCTATTAATCACTTAATTGAAATGCTATGTCATGGCCGTTATCTTACTTTCAAAGGAGATTTATATTAGAGAAGACTATTATTTTGTTACGGTGTCACACAATGTTCATATGTACGAGATACTACAAGACATTATATATCTTCCCTGATCATCAGAGGGTACCAGACATTGAGGTGCACTTCATGCTTCCCCTGTCAGACTACAGGTTGTCAGAGGACAGGCTGACTTGTACTGTCCAGTGCAGTGTGTGTGTAGCGGTCTTGTCTGGATTTTGTATTTTCAGTGTGTGTAACTGCCACAGAGCTGTAAAACTCAGTGTGCTTTGTATGGTACAAATAGGATGTCTTTATGTGGTGTTTAGGCATCCCACACAATTATTTAAATGTGATTTAGATACACACTTTTCAATTGTTTATAAGCATGATACAAGGTTAGAAAACAAAGACGGTATTAACCCAGAATCTCATTGATGTGTCAAGTTTTGTACATTAAATATTTTTGATACAATGATTATCAGATTATATCAAATAATACCAAGAGATCGTTAATGTCATGTTAGTAAGATGTGATATTTGTTAGAGAGATGTGGCTAACATCAGTGACAAAATACATTATGTAAACTTTGACCGACCACTGAAATGAATAACAAGAAGTCGATATCAGCCAATGAGAAAGCAGCTTTTTCGAGCTTTACGGCACTTGTTTCAACCTGGTGACTTCCATTTCAGACTACGCTTGAAAAATATGTTGACGCTGTTCTCGATTAAAATTTTGAAAACTGAACAGACGAACATTTCTGAATGTCTAATATATTGTTGCGATTGTATGACAGTGCTTCCCACATACTGTGCAACGCCTCCTCCATTCAAATGTTTCCCGCGGAAGCGAGATATAGATGATAATTTTGATGGCATCAGTCGTACAGGCCCTAACTGTTGTTCGGAATACCCGGTGTTAACGCTTTTGAGGTTGCATGATTAGAAAACACATTCTGACTGCCACTTTCATGATATGGTAAATGATGCTTTGACTGGTCGGATGAAAGGTCCTTCTGACGTGACCCATAATGGGATGTCCTCAGATCCTTGTTTAGCGATAGCGAGAACTAAGATCTGATTTTAATGAGATTGCCTCATGTACACACATGTATCTGTTGAATCATGACTGGTTAAGTTTGACGCTCAGCTAGAAACAGTGAAGAAGTAGGTCTGTAAATGAACATTATATGTGACCCACCGAGAAAAGGGAACTTTTGGATGATAGGATACAAGTGTGGTATGAGGTCATAAAGGCGTTTGGCGTCAACTTTCTTTAGTGAAGATAGCCATGTGTATGCACTGTACACCTAGAGCAGAACACCAATATTCAGCTTGATGGATCCCAATGGCCGAGTCATTTTTGGAATCACTGCAAGTTTTCACACCTCCACTTGTTTTTGTTTGAAGGTTCACAGATTTGGAGGAGTTTAGGTAATAACATACGGTGTGATGTATAGTTCAGTTTCATCAAAGTCATACCGTTCAACATGCTAATCATGTTCCGTAGTAGTTTTGAAGACAGTACTAATTTTAGACCCCATCCCAGATATTCCTAATTGTCTCCCTTGGAGGTTGGCATCTCTCCAGATGGTCTTAGACACCACAATTCACTGTACAGATTGGCAGCATAATTCACTGTACAGATTGGCAGCACAATTAACTGTACAGATTGGCAGCACAATTAACTGTACAGATTGGCAGCACAATTCACTGTACACATTGGCAGCACAATTCACTGAACAGATTGGCAGCATAATTCACTGTACAGATTGGCACCACAATTAACTGTACAGATTGGCAGCATAATTCACTGTACAGATTGGCACCACAATTCACTGAACAGATTGGCAGCACAATTCACTGTACACATTGGCAGCACAATTCACTGAACAGATTGGCAGCATAATTCACTGTACAGATTGGCACCACAATTCACTGTACAGATTGGCAGCACAATTCACTATACAGATTGGCAGCACAATTCACTGAACAGATTGGCAGCACAATTCACTGTACAGATTGGCAGCACAATTCACTGTACAGATTGGCACCACAATTCACTGTACAGATTGGCAGCACAATTCACTGTACAGATTGGCACCACAATTCACTGTACAGATTGGCAGCACAATTCACTGTACAGATTGGCAGCACAATTCACTGTACAGATTGGCACCACAATTCACTGTACAGATTGGCACCACAATTCACTGTACAGATTGGCACCACAATTCACTGTACAGATTAGCACCACAATTCACTTTACAGATTGGCACCACAATTCACTATACATATTGGCACCACAATTCACTGTACAGATTGGCAGCACAATTCACTTTACAGACTGGCACCACAATTCACTGTACAGATTGGCACCACAATTCACTGTACAGATTGGCACCACAATTCACTTTACAGACTGGCACCACAATTCACTGTACAGATTGGCACCACAATTCACTGTACAGATTGGCACCACAATTCACTGTACAGATTGGCACCACAATTCACTTTACAGACTGGCACCACAATTCACTGTACAGATCGGTGCCACTGGGTTGAAACCATGATTCTAGATGGGTTTGATTCCCAGAGTTTCTAATGACCTGGGCACTTGAATCTTTCCTTCCAGTCATCTGGTTTGCCTTAAAACACTCACTCACTCACTCTGATGGAGATCTGGGCAACTGCAAGAGGCTCAGGATTGTTGCTGTGCTAGTTGCTAAATAAGTCAACATATACTTTATACTTGGGGAATTGTCCTGAAAATACCTGTGTAGCTGCTGTTGAACCAGTTTATCATTTGGGGCTGTGAGATTACTAGTTTAAATGTTTCTTTTCCAGGAGAATCAACCCATTTGACCAGTCGTCAGTGGATGTGTTAGACTCTCCTGTGGACAATGCAGCTTTCTCTCAAGCATTCACTGTCCGATTCCTGGGATCAATGGAAGTGAAGTCGGACAGAGGTAATATCACTCCAGGAGATGGCTCAGAATGATGCTTGGAGAATAACAAGTCATAAGGAATTAGGGATTATCTGAGTGATTGAATGGTGCACACGCCCTAAGCCTTTGGCAAGGGACTTACAGAATACTTTCATGAGAAGAAGATATAGAGGATATTTAATGTGTTTTCTCAAATACCACTTTTATCTCATCGAGTGAAGTGGGGAGAGTCTAATATTTGCACGAATGACGCAGTCACGAGTGAAAATATTAGACTCTCACCAATTCACGAGATTCACGTCTGATAAATTACTAAGTTCTCCCTGTCGCCCCTTTACCAGTGTTGTATAAAGGGTTTTGCGAAAAGAATATAGTTCGTGAATAAAACTAGCCCTGTTAATATATGTTATTCAAAATATATTATTTCATATCGAGTATTAAGTTCCGTGGACATTTTTGTTTGTCATAATTAAACATTCCTGTTTAAAATGGATAACTCTTTAATGTTTTGAATCAGGAAAAAGTAGTTCCGGCACCTTGTTTATATCAGTCACTAGTGACTGATATAACTTTTTTATATCAGTCACTAGTGACTGATAACTTGATCTATCATCACTGATAAATTCCAGTATTTCATTCATATGTATATAATAAAATGCTTAATTATGAGTTTAGAGTAGGTTATTCAGTCGTAATAACCTGCAAATGAGCCCATGGCATTTGATTTGATAACTTTTATGAATTTAGACCGCACCCACTAGTGGACCACAGTTTTCTGATTGGCTGATAATTGAATGGGAGGGGCTTGTGTTACCCAAAGAAAAGTATTTCATACAATTGGTTAAACCGCATGACCAATGTGATGAGCTGATGCTGCTCACGTGGCAACATTATCAGATAACTTAAAACGATAATATGAAATGTTGGACATATGTTTTCCCACCTACTGACCAGAATTTTTAACAAAGATATCTGTAGACCCAATAACCTCTTGATATGAGGAACATAATTGCTGTCTGAGACACACATGCTTGTTGTGTGAATCATCTCCATGTCTTGTTGCCAGGGGAACAGCTGGTTCATGGTACCATGCGACAGATACTGGCCGCCCGGGCAATACACAACGTCTTCAAGATGACGGAATCCAGGCTGATTGTCACCAACGAGTGCATGAGGTCAGTGGACTATCTTGTTATCTTATAAATGAGATCCCTGCTTCAGCTGTTTGCAAGGGTGATCCTTGTTCAAAACTTCTTCTTTCTTAGTACAGTTTTGTCACCATGGCATTTGTTTTGAGTTATTTTTCTGAAACATGTCCTCAGTTCATCCTGGTACATCAATCAATCAATCTTTATTGTATGAAAGGCCATTGGCCCATATACACATACAGATAAACAATATCATTTACAGCTGTACAGTGCATTATATTATTATTGGATAACAAATATGATGCTTGACATGTAATAGAGGTATTATAATAACAGTGGTAATAACCACAGTGGAAGAAGTAGTAGTATAAAATACAAAAGGAATACAAAAGGAATGGAATGGAAATATGAAATTTTACGTCGCAAAGGCTTTCAGCCATAGCGTGACGTTCAATACAAAAGGATCTATCAGTAATATACTCATCATGTCAAGACAATTTGACAATTTAAATGTATATGCATTTCTAGTAGAAACAAACAGACAAAAATGAAAAGTAATTTACTACGCACTCGTAGACTTTGATAGATGTATTGTAATATCAGTTAGTTTTTTACTAGGGATACCATTAAAAGATAATATTTTGTTCATGGAATAGTGGTTCTTAGTGATATCAGGCATATATTTCAATCTTAGGCTGTCGTAAATGTATATGTATATTGATGAAGTGTGACTGGTGGATAGTATGCAGAATTCTCAGAATTGCAAACAAGTTTCTGATTTTAACTATAGAAATTGATATAATTATGATATTTGTGGATACCTCTGATAGTTACCCCAGTAATATATAGTTTGCATGCACTGACTCTTCACTCTTCATGATACTTTGTTTCAGATTAATCGATCCCTCCAACAACACAATTCGGGTAGAGTTTTCTCTGCCAGACATATCATTCTGGTCTGTCCATCAAGACAATCCCAGGTATGCAGTGTTCAAGAGTCATAACTATAAAAGGGCGGTCGGGTAGCCTAGTGGTTAAAGCGTTTGCTCGTCACGCTGAAGACCCGGGTTCGATTCCCGATATGGGTACAATGTGTGAAGCCTATTTCTGGTGTCCCCCGCCGTGATATTGCTGGAATATTGCTAAAAGCGGCGTAAAACCATACTCACTCACTCACTCATAACTATAAAACTGCTTTGTGCAAGTTTGCCCTGTCTATCTCCAATCAGCAGTGTGTATACACACACATAAGACACTTAAATGGTATTTTTTAAGCATAAGTTAAGAATCCATATGCCCCTTGTTGTTCTTTGTAAAGTCATGCTTGTCATATGGTTCAAATAAGGCCACACAAATTTTTGTTTGGATTCGGGGTTTCACCAAAGTGGTAAACATTTGAGATCAGCATCAGCTTCATCACTTTTGACTTTCCTCCCTCATTTACTTGAAATGCTGTTTCAATGGGAGTCAAGTTTGTTTTGTTTGTTGTTTAAGGCAGCACACAGCAATATTCCAGGTATATGGCGATGGTCTTTAAATAATTAGTCTGGACCAGACAATCCAGTGATTGCAATTTTGAGCCACATTCTATTTTGTCTGGCTATGATGACATGCAGCCAATTAAGTCAGTAAGCCAGACTGCCTGATCCGTTTAGTTGCCTCACACAAGCGACAGCATGCTGGGTATCAATTCTAACCCAGGATCTTACTTGTGATAAGCACCTGTGAAAATCTGGGTTGGGATTGATCTTAAAAAAAAACATGCTTGTCGTAAGAGGCGACTAATGGGATCGGGTGATCAGGCTCGCTGACTTGCTTGATGCATGTTATTGTATCCCAATTGCAATGATCGATGCTTATCATACTAATCCTTGGATTGTCTGGTCCAGACTTGATTATTTTAAGACGGCTGTCATAGAGCTGGAATATTGCTGGGTGAGGAACTGTTAAACAACAAACAAACAAGGATTGTGAGGATTGGTGGAGACATTGGGTAGGCTGCCTTTAATACAGCTAATATTGCTGACTGTGCATAAAACACTCATGTATTTACTTTGGTTGTGATATAATGTTGTGAGCTCCAACTGATTGATTTCGGTCTTCTGTGCAGGTTGTTTGGGTTTATAACACGGAATCGATCTGAAGGTGGAGGTGTGACGTTCGCCTGTCACGTGTTCGAGAGCAGCAACTCTGCAGAAGAGGTATGACGTGTTCACTAGGAAGCAGTTCTAAAATTTAATGTAGGATAAGACATGTAACTTTTGAGACCCCCCCCCCAAAAAAAACAACAAAAAAACCAAACAAACAAAAAACAATAACAACAACAACATACTGGTACGGTAATTGACATGTTTGAAGCTACTTTTTTGTCATTCGAATCCTACTCCGCAATGATTCAGAAAAGTGATGATGCAACTGTAAATCCCCATTAAAAGTTTTGTCAGATAGAAAACTGTAAAGTTCCCCCTTCTACCATCTTCCTGAGACAAGAGAGTGAACTGACTTTAAAAGTCCAGTTTCCACCCTTGCCGAACAAGGCTGGTATTCCTGGGCTCGATCGTAGCGCCACCAGTGGCTATTACGAGTTATGTCCCTTATATGCCTCTCCTATGGACCAATCAGATTCCACCTCTCGTATCACTTGCATTTGCTTCAAACAAAACGGCAGCGCCCAGTCAAGAGGATCTGATCGATAATCAAGATCTATTATCAAATGAGTCTTACATCGCGAAGTGCATCAAATCACGTGAGCACCTTCATTTACCAACATGAAAAAATGTAGAAAATATTTGTTGACAAGGAGTTAGCGATGCACATGCTTTGCAAATCCTGCAATTGACCAAAATCTGCATGACATATTACGAACCGGATTTCGATTTCGGAGCACGATTGGACTATGCATAGACTCGTTAGTCCAGCCAAAATGTAACTCCATAATACCAGCCTAGTTCGGCAAGGGTGGAAACTGGACTTTGATAGTCATTTAACTCACTTGCCTCAGGAAGATGCACTTCTACTTAAGGAAATATGATTGCTTCCATATATGGTTACTTAAGTAAAATTCAGTTAATAGTTTATACCATCATGATGAAATCACACTGTTTTTGCATTTGGTTCTGAGTCAGGAATTCACTGGCCGTTCAGAACATGCATTTTGTACAAGTAAAACTCTCACAATTATAGGCCTTGATGTAGAATTAAAAAGAAATTATGTATCAATCATAACATGGTTGAAGTCGGAGAAATCACTCATATCTGTTGATTTCAGAAGTAGAATCAATAGATTCTCATAATTACTCCATTAATATGTAGATAAAAGTAAAGGATTTAATCCTTTTATAAGCTTTCTGTTCGGACAATTACCTCCAGGCCATGTCATACTCTGATTATACCGTATTTTCTTGAGTGTAGTGCACACTTTTAAAACAACAACAACACCGCTGTGTAGAAGGTTGTGTGCATTATACATGCCATAAAGAGTTTTGATGTTTTTTTTCCCCCAACGCAAGGACATTACTGTAAATAGAGATATATGTTTCATGGTGATGACCCTGTGAACTGAATAAACTTACAAATTAAAACATAATTCCGATGATATGATTTTAATAATAAAATAATGATTTCATTCTTCTTATGAGGTTGCATTATGATGTGACTAGAGGCAGTGGGGTAGCCTAGTGGTTAAAGCATTTGCTCATCATGCCGAACACCTGGGTTCGATTCCCCACATGGTTACAATGTGTGAAGCCCATTTCTGGTGTCCCCTGCTGTGATATTGCTGGAATAGTGCTAAAAGCGGCATAAAAAAACAAAACCATACTCACTGATGATGTGACTAATTTCAGGTGAAAGTACTGAGAATGGTTTGTATTGGTTGCATCAATCAATCTGTCTACTATAAAGAAACTGTGCCCTTCACATACACATGCTTAGGGGGCACGGGTGGCCCAGTCGAATAAGGCGCCGCGATTCGCTGTGCAGAGTTGTGTCCCTTGGGCACGCCAGAAACCTATGATTGTGGGTTCGAAACCCGGTTTGCCCCGATTATGTTTCTAGGTTTGTCAGCACCATACCCGTGCTCGTGGGTTTCACCGAAGTGGAAAACGTCTGAGACCTGCATCACTTCGGGCTTTCCTCCCACATTAAGCTGACACGCCGCGATATAACTGGAATACTGTTAAAAGCGGCGTTAAACCCAACTCACTCACTACACAGGCTTACTGTGGTTACTTCTGTTTCAGATATGCCAGGCAATCAGTACAGCAACTAAGATTGCATTCCAAGCTATCATGGTGAGTAGCTCAACTCCTTTCTGTCCCTTGTCTACCAGACACACACACAGAAACACAGACATTCAGACACCGACAGGCACAGAAACACAGACATGCAGGCAGACATATAGACACACACAAACATAATCGCACAGAATTGCACATACAGAGACATGCAGACAGACAGACAAGCAGACTACAGACATGCTGTCAGACAGGCAGACTAAAGACAAACAGATATGCAGACAGACAAGCAGACAACAGACATGCAAACAGACAGACAAGCAGACTACAGACGTGCTGTCAGACAGGCATGCAGACAGACAAGCAGACAACAGACATGCTGTCAGACAGGCAGACTAAAGACAAACAGATATGCAGACAACAGACATGCAAACAGACAGACAAGCAGACTACAGACATGCTGTCAGACAGGCATGCAGACAGACAAGCAGACAACAGACATGCTGTCAGACAGGCAGACTAAAGACAAACAGATATGCAGACAGACAAGCAGACAACAGACATGCAAACAGCCAGACAAGCAGACTACAGACGTGCTGTCAGACAGGCAGACTAAAGACAAACAGATATGCAGACAGACAAGCAGACAACAGACATGCAAACAGACAGACAAGCAGACAACAGACATGCTGTCAGACAGGCATGCAGACAGACAAGCAGACTACAGACATGCTGTCAGACAGGCATGCAGACAGACAAGCAGACTACAGACATGCTGTCAGACAGGCATGCAGACAGACAAGCAGACTACAGACATGCTGTCAGACAGGCATGCAGACAGACAAGCAGACTACAGACAAACAGAGAGACACAGATGCTTGTTTTGGAGCTGACTCATGAGAACGATGTGGTCAGGCTTTGTGATTTAGCTATTCAGTATCATGTCATGATGTGATTATTGTCCATGTCATCAGTTACTGGTTTGTCTGGTCCAGATTATGTTTACAGGCAGCTGTGGTGCAGCTGGAATACAGCTGACTTCCGGATTAAACAACATTCACTCACTCACTCACAGAGTCAAAAACTACAATTGTGGACAGGGTGAGGCAGTTGAAACAATCCAAACTCCAATGGCACATTACTGTGGGGACTGATTATTTTAATGTAGAGTTCAAGTTGACGAGATCCAGGAGTTTGAACTGATGCTTTCTGTGTTGACTTTCAGGAGAAGAGGAGTGGCAAGAAGCCCTCCATTAGCAAAGACACAGACAAGAATAAGGAGAAGGTGAGTGACATCATCACACTTGTGTGTTTCCAACTCACGTGTGTCTAGCTGTATTTACAATACGACGTCACACTCATAGCCGGCAGTGTCTTGCAGAGATTCACAGCGCTGCCGACCATTTACTATTCTGGAATGGGGTGCCTGGGAATTTCAGAGATGCCAGCCATTATGATTTTGGTATAGTAGTTTTGAGTCTAAGCCTAGAATTACTTGTTACACTTGTCCTCTACACATATAGCAATTTTTGTACTTTTTTTCACAAATTATTTACACCCGTAAAATATCTCGGAGAGCAAATTGTCAATGCTCCAGTGACATGAAGCATTCTACAGCGAGACTATGCTGACCAATGAGAGCCATGCTTTCTTATTACATAGTGTTAAAATATCCATTACTCACTGATACAGGGTCTCCGATTGGTTGTTATGTTAAAACACACTCACTTCATTTATCGATCGACCTTTAGAAGGGTAGACAGGGAAATAATTGCACATACACAGATATTTCTTTGAAACTCAAAACACCACATTGTCCTGAAAAAAAGTTCCTGATAGTCACATGATGATTTTTATGAGTGTGATGAGCTGTGATCACGTGTTTCACTTACGTCTAGGCATAACGAAAATGTTGAAGCAAAATCCGTGCATCATTGTACTGTTAACCTTACTCTTTTTCACATGAAATTTTACTTCTTTTACTCTACTGATTACCCTAAAGCATCAATTAGGATTGCCATCTCTAGGTATTTGTTCAAGACAGAATTATTTCTCTGCCACTGCTTCAAGACAAAGCGGCCAAGTGTGTTTGGTTATAATTTCTGCATTAATGATTAACATGTAGAAGAATATTCTCTAGACTAGCCATGCAATCAGTTTGCTTTCAAGCTATGAGCTGTGTACAACTTGACGGTGAAGCCGGCTAGTCGTTCTTAGTGTTTCTTAGTTACAGATAACTCTCTTTTTGAAAACTTTGTTCTTTCTTTGTTTTTATGTATATTTTCTGTTTCCAACTCTGGTACTTTCATCTATTTCTAGTTTGATGAGACTGAGGTGATACTCTTCTTCTTTTCACATCAGGGATGGGATTTTAAAACACAAATTACATATTACTTCAAATGTATTAAATAATCTTGATAATCCCATCCCTGTTAAGGCTATATCTTAGATTAACTACCAATTTTACAGTGGTTGTACTGTATATCTTATACCTTCCACTCGGCTTACTACTGGTATGGGACTATATACGCTATACACCCCTTCTTATGTCTAATGGTATCATCTGATGATACCTCAACTTGTAATTGACACTCCCTGATCTTTGATGTGGGTCACACTATTTCATATATTAGGGGTCACAGATTGAATATCATTGACTTTCACTTCCTATTTCCAGAGTGATAGTGAGTGAGACCTTGGATTCGCACTGGAACAGTGGTACTTTGCTTGCACATCTTTATACATGAAATATCCTGCATATACCTGTCGCTAACATTCGTCTCCCTCACATCATTAACTGGTGTTGTTCCTTTTCTGTATAATAGTCTCGTCTCCTTAACTTTTGTTCATGTTATTTCTGATTTTTTAAAGTTCTGTTTTTAATTAGTATACAGAACAAGGAAGTAAGGGATCATGGATTTTTTTATTTTTTTGAAGTGAAGAGTGAGCTCACAATTTTATGAAATTATCCCCCAAAATATTCATGATCCCTAACTGTTATTTTTTTCAGTGTATATGATGTGTCATGATTGTATTATAGTTATTGACTGGAGTCCATGGGTGGGATTTAGCTGATGGTGTTTGTAGTGAAACATGTACTGGCTGTACCTGATGTAGCGGGTGCTGCAGGTGCTGTGTATGTCATGGTCCCTCCATAGGACTCCCCTGTGAAGATCCGGATCAAAATTGTTGTAAGAGACGACTAACAGGATCAGGTGGTCACTAATGCTGACTTGGTTCATGCATGTCATCATTTACCAGTTGTGTACATTGATGCTCATGATGTCAATCACAGGATGGTCTGGTCCCAGCTCAATTATTTATAGACTAGCTGCCATCATATAGCTGGAATATTGCTGAGTGTGGTGTTAAACAACAAACAAACCTAATTGCCAATGGGGGACACATTCTGCAAACCTCAGGTTTTGCCTATAGGGGGCATATATTTCCAGCACCATGTTATATCAAAGGTTTTATTTGTCCACCTGCACACTTCTCCCTACTTGTGATACCTACTTTAGAAGATATGTTACATTGCATGTATTACAACTTAGTTGTATATCTGTCATCTTCTTACAGATAACTACAACAAATCACATTCCTTCAAGTAATCTTTTCAGATTGAAATACACAGGCTGAAATACTCAGGCCTTTTTCAAAGCAATGTGTGGAATAATACATTATCTATGTCAAGACATGACTGTTAAATGATATAGGTTTAGGCAGGGGTCCGGAAAATTTAAAATCCCAATCGGACATTTGCATTTAGGCCACACCCCCTTCAAAAAGCGTATCTTCGTACACACATTAAAAGTTGTTACGTACAGTGTTCCCTCGTTATTGAGCGCTTCGGTAAAGCATGGCTCCCAAAATTTACTAACATTTTTAGTAAACTTAAGTTTTCCAATGACACAATGTTTTCCCCCATCTCAGAAAACATTATCAGCTGATCACTGCGATCACGTAACACCGGAAATACAAGTCAACAAATCCGAACTGAAGAACGCAATTTAATCTTATCATTATAATATCTGGTAATGAAAAAAATTGTTCACTGTTTATCTGGACTAGAGTTTGCAATATGTTTGATTAATATTATTCAATATTTCATTCAATAATTATAATAATGTTTACAATAATTTCGGCAAAATCATATGCAAAGTGATTGGTAAATCGCACAACTCACCATTATTTACAGCAACCACGGTCAGATCACCGCTATTGACGCCTTGAAACGAACTTTAGTTGCAAGAGAATGGATACACATGTCATAAATGCAGTACCATGACTCGCTAAAAGTCATATTTGAGGCAGTTTGACTATTAAATGTCAACATAACGTTTTCGCAATCCAAATACATGTAGTCCATACAGTGACTGGTCAAAATCATTCCATACGTCAAAAAATATCCTGCATACCATCTGTACCAAAGTGCTACGCTTATGGTTCTTATAATTTTAAGTATATATGGTGGAAGCTGCAACTAAAAAACACGATATTGGAATATATTCTTCCTGATAAAATAATAATTTCAGATACAATTTCTTCCCACCATTGCATCAAAATTCTTTAAAGTGGTATCACTGGGGATGTTTTAACTGAATCACCAGTAGATTGGGAGGAAACGTTTGCACAGCTGATTTCTATTTCCGGCTTAGTTTACGAGAAAATATACATGGTAATCTTAATCTCTGCACATATAACAATGCCTTTGAGAGCAGGAAATACCTTTTAAATGGTAAAATCATCATGTCTAGTGATTATATCAAATTTCATACTTTTATTGACCAAGTTTGTTATGCCTGTTTATTCAGCTGAAGTCGTTGAAGGGATACGATAACGCTCATCAATTATTTGGACCCCGAAGGTAGCGTTGTTTGTTTTTTAAAATGTCAGGACAGAAAAATTTAAATGTCCAGTAGGCAATATTTTAAATTGGACATTTGAGATTCCCAATTGGACATGTCCGGCGTATATGACCGTTTCCGGACCCCTGGGTTTAGGCGTCCCTATGTTCAAATAATATAGATAACATCCTCAAGTCCTCCATGACGTCCTTAAATTTCTAACACTGTAATTTAAAGTCAAGAGTCTGTCCCAGGTCTGTGTACAGTACAAATGTCATTTTGATCAGTTTGTGAACTTTGACATCAACTGCATCTTGACCTTTGGTCACCGTGTTTGTACCAGTTGAAATAATACATTGATTGTTTTCCTTCCTGCCCTCTTATCTGAATATTTATGAATTATCATCAGCCTAGCTTATGAGACTTGATTAATCAAACTAGGTTTGAGATTTGTTACAGTAGCAGCTTTAGTGGCAGACTGTTTTGTTCTACTGGTAAACAGGTTTATCATATAATGGGTAGGTTTCTCGGCAGGATAAAGCCAACGGATAAAAACGAAATCCGTTGGGGTCATATGGGGATAGAGATGCAAATATCAAAGGTCAAGTAGGGACTTCTTTCACTGTTTATAAACAAACATGGCGTTGCCCTCGTCATTCGGCGATCGAGTCAGAATTAACCATCGGGAATCTGGATAAACTACAGGGATAATTACTATCATTATCAAAAGAAAAGTCCATTATACTGAAAATCAGTGTCTAACTGTGACGTAGGTAAGGCATTTTATAAGTTTTGGCAACTTTGGAGATATAAATTTCGAAACAATTTTGCGAGGGCACAAGGACTAGCCAAGCAGGATCAGTAGCCATATCTGTGTACACTTCTGTGGCTTGAAACCTTCTCCACAAATTAAAATAGTTGGATTTGGCCGAAATATGTTTGAATTGTTACCTTGTTTTGTTTTCTCGCTGTGTGTACATCTGACTACACTTCTTAACGTTATGACAGGACAGACCGACTGTCAACAACGTCTGACCGTGGCCGTGACGTCTCATAGACTAGGGTTAGAGTAGCTTCCCTTTGACAAAGGGCAGTTACTCTAGCGGACAGACCGTATTAGGAATAAACACTATGTATTTAACTCGCCAAGGCTCGCTAAATACAATGTTTATTCCTAATGCAGGATATTTACCATTCCCAAACACACTCGCGTGATAACCTCTATAGATCTGGTCTGAAAGCTGTAGTCCACCATGATGTAGAGTTTTTGTTCTACAGTTAGACAGGTAGATCTGGTCTGAAAGCTGTAGTCCACCTTGATGTAGAGCTTTTGTTCTACAGGTAGACAGGTAGATCTGATCTGAAAGCTGTAGCCCACCTTGATGTAGAGCTTTTGTTCTACAGGTAGACAGGTAGATCTGGTCTGAAAGCTGTAGCCCACCTTGATGTAGAGTTTTTGTTCTACAGGTAGATAGGTAGATCAGGTCTGAAAGCTGTAGCCAACCTTGATGTAGAGCTTTTGTTCTACAGTTAGACAGGTAGATCTGGTCTGAAAGCTGTAGCCCACCTTGATGTAGAGCTTTTGTTCTACAGGTAGATAGGTAGATCTGGTCTGAAACCTGTAGCCCACCTTGATGTAGAGCTTTTGTTCTACAGGTAGACAGGTAGATCTGATCTGAAAGCTGTAGCCCACCTTGATGTAGAGCTTTTGTTCTACAGGTAGACAGGTAGATCTGATCTGAAAGCTGTAGCCCACCTTGATGTAGAGCTTTTGTTCTACAGGTAGATAGGTAGATCTGGTCTGAAAGCTGTAGTCCACCATGATGTAGAGTTTTTGTTCTACAGGTAGATAGGTAGATCAGGTCTGAAAGCTGTAGCCAACCTTGATGTAGAGCTTTTGTTCTACAGTTAGACAGGTAGATCTGGTCTGAAAGCTGTAGCCCACCTTGATGTAGAGCTTTTGTTCTACAGGTAGATAGGTAGATCTGGTCTGAAACCTGTAGCCCACCTTGATGTAGAGCTTTTGTTCTACAGGTAGACAGGTAGATCTGATCTGAAAGCTGTAGCCCACCTTGATGTAGAGCTTTTGTTCTACAGGTAGATAGGTAGATCTGGTCTGAAAGCTGTAGTCCACCATGATGTAGAGTTTTTGTTCTACAGGTAGATAGGTAGATCTGGTCTGAAAGCTGTAGTCCACCTTGATGTAGAGTTTTTGTTCTACAGGTAGACAGGTAGATCTGGTCTGAAAGCTGTAGTCCACCATGATGTAGAGCTTTTGTTCTACAGGTAGATAGGTAGATCTGATCTGAAAGCTGTAGTCCACCATGATGTAGAGCTTTTGTTCTACAGGTAGATAGGTAGATCTGGTCTGAAAGCTGTAGCCCACCATGATGTAGAGCTTTTGTTCTACAGGTAGATAGGTAGATCTGGTCTGAAAGCTGTAGCCCACCATGATGTAGAGTTTTTGTTCTACAGGTAGACAGGTAGATCTGGTCTGAAAGCTGTAGCCAACCTTGATGTAGAGCTTTTGTTCTACAGTTAGACAGGTAGATCTGGTCTGAAAGCTGTAGCCCACCATGATGTAGAGCTTTTGTTCTACAGGTAGATAGGTAGATCTGGTCTGAAAGCTGTAGCCCACCTTGATGTAGAGCTTTTGTTCTACAGGTAGATAGGTAGATCTGGTCTGAAAGCTGTAGTCCACCATGATGTAGAGTTTTTGTTCTACAGTTAGATAGGTAGATCTGGTCTGAAAGCTGTAGTCCACCTTGATGTAGAGTTTTTGTTCTACAGGTAGACAGGTAGATCTGGTCTGAAAGCTGTAGCCCACCTTGATGTAGAGTTTTTGTTCTACAGGTAGATAGGTAGATCTGGTCTGAAAGCTGTAGCCCACCTTGATGTAGAGCTTTTGTTCTACAGTTAGACAGGTAGATCTGGTCTGAAAGCTGTAGCCCACCATGATGTAGAGCTTTTGTTCTACAGGTAGACAGGTAGATCTGGTCTGAAAGCTGTAGCCCACCTTGATGTAGAGCTTTTGTTCTACAGGTAGATAGGTAGATCTGGTCTGAAAGCTGTAGTCCACCATGATGTAGAGTTTTTGTTCTACAGGTAGATAGGTAGATCTGGTCTGAAAGCTGTAGTCCACCTTGATGTAGAGTTTTTGTTCTACAGGTAGACAGGTAGATCTGGTCTGAAAGCTGTAGCCCACCTTGATGTAGAGTTTTTGTTCTACAGGTAGATAGGTAGATCAGGTCTGAAAGCTGTAGCCAACCTTGATGTAGAGCTTTTGTTCTACAGTTAGACAGGTAGATCTGGTCTGAAAGCTGTAGCCCACCTTGATGTAGAGCTTTTGTTCTACAGGTAGATAGGTAGATCTGGTCTGAAAGCTGTAGCCCACCTTGATGTAGAGCTTTTGTTCTACAGGTAGATAGGTAGATCTGGTCTGAAAGCTGTAGCCCACCTTGATGTAGAGCTTTTGTTCTACAGGTAGATAGGTAGATCTGGTCTGAAAGCTGTAGTCCACCATGATGTAGAGTTTTTGTTCTACAGGTAGATAGGTAGATCTGGTCTGAAAGCTGTAGTCCACCTTGATGTAGAGTTTTTGTTCTACAGGTAGACAGGTAGATCTGGTCTGAAAGCTGTAGCCCACCTTGATGTAGAGTTTTTGTTCTACAGGTAGATAGGTAGATCTGGTCTGAAAGCTGTAGCCCACCTTGATGTAGAGTTTTTGTTCTACAGTTAGACAGGTAGATCTGGTCTGAAAGCTGTAGTCCACCATGATGTAGAGTTTTTGTTCTACAGGTAGACAGGTAGATCTGGTCTGAAAGCTGTAGCCCCCCTTGATGTAGAGCTTTTGTTCTACAGTTAGACAGGTAGATCTGGTCTGAAAGCTGTAGCCCACCTTGATGTAGAGCTTTTGTTCTACAGTTAGACAGGTAGATCTGGTCTGAAAGCTGTAGTCCACCATGATGTTGACACACCATGATAAAATGGAAATACTGTTCAAAGGAATGATAAACCAAACGCATTCACTCACTCTAATTTAGATTTTGTTTTGAACAGTCACTTCATTGACATCATACAGAAGATTGTGCATTCTGCTGTTCCACGAACCACAAAGACAAACCTATCCTATTACTGGATGTTAGAAACAGATCCATCTCATGATTTTTTTAAGACTGCAGGTTTTTTCTTGTATTTACCACAAGAAAGTTATAACTTGCGCATTAACTATTTTGTCTTGTCTCTAAAGTTACAATGATTCACTGGCTTTGAGGGTACAATGATCGTTAACCAGAGAATCAGTCTATGAGTTTATAAATACCTACTTGCAAAGAAAGATTATTGATTGAACATTCCATAAACTCATAAACTGGTGGTTTCCATTTTCAAGAATTTCTTTCAAATATCTTTGCTTCCTTTGCCATATGGTAGCCATATGTTTCGGACATATGAAACTTCTGTTGCTATCCATAAAAAAAGGGTCATGTATTCATTGTTTCTTCATTCTAAACAAGTTGTACTTTCATCCTTTGGTGTTGGTGAAGTAAGACTGGAGAAACCTGACCAAATGTAAATAAGTCTGATGGACAGAGTTAAATTCATTCAGAAGCTGAAATTGAAGCCACTGGTGATAGCTATGGAGGATCGCAGGATGGGTGGGGTGGATGCAGGGGTTGGTGGGGATGCAGGGGGAGGAGAGGATGCAGGGGGGGGGAGAGGAGTGGGGATGCAAAGGGGGTGAGGATGCAGGGGGTGCGTCTCAGAGACCTTACATGTTAACTGCGCCTTGGCCAAGTCACTTCAAAACTTGATGTACACCCCCTTTTTCAAAATCCAGAATCCGCCCCTGGTCCCTATCTGCGTCATCAGTACGTGATGGGTGTGTTGACAATGTGTTCCTCCATCACCTGCGAAGACATAGGGCCGATATGTGGTGTCCTAATGGGTTTGTTTTCAGTTAAGTAAAGAAATGAGGCTGTGTAGACCTCACACAAGTCAAATGATCCCGACTGTGCATGGAATTTGTGTCAACCATACCATGGTCTCATATGCAGTGTGTAGAGTAGATGTCCACAAGACTGTGGCACATGTTCAATTATGTTGCATGAGAAATATTGCCGTTTGTGAGATGTGATCCAAGCGCTCATTGGTCTCAACACTCGCTGATACTAGGTTGAGGCTTGCGTTGTTACAAATACCGTATTCGACATAATAAGCGCCCAGGGCGCTCTCAAAATTAGAAATAGGGGGCTCTTATTAGAATATTATTTTAGTGAAAAAAACAGAGTTAAAAGATAAATTTCGTGGTTTATGCTGACAGCCTGAAATGTTTATGCAGTTAATTGCCTATAATTATGTATGCATATAACACACGAGTGCATATTATACGCGAATATATAAGTCTTGTGTACATTGATCAATCGGAAGGGGTGCTAATTAGGATTGTTTACTGGCCAATATATTAGCAAATATCGCTGTGGGCGCTTATTAGAGCGGGGCGCTTATTACATCGAATACGGTAGCGACTACAACGCAACCAACTGTACGTAGTCCTGAGTGATGGAGGAACACAGTGTATACAAACCTGTGGGGTATTGCAGCTACCCTAACTGGTGTTGGTGTCTATTTATGACAATATACATATCATATTTATTAATATAGATAGCTACTTCCCCCTGGTTTGGCAACATATACCATATATTATCCACATCTACCTGTGATTCTTGTATTACTTTATAATTTGAAAATTTTATAAATATTCACCATAATACAATAAACAAGTGGTATTGCTTTTGGCAATAAAAAGTTTACAAATAGTTTCATCAGAAAGATGGACAACATTCATCCTTCTAACAGTCAGTTCAGTGCACATTTGAAATTGTACCCAGTAGTTTTTAAAGAATTAATTAATAAGGAAATTATTCTTTGAATAATTAACTGTTCATTTTTGAATAATTAATTATTCATAGCATGAAATGGAATGAAAAGCATGTCGGGTACTCAATATAATACCCTGTAGTGAAAGCTCTGGATTATTTCCTTACACAATGTATGCATGACATAAAGATTTCACACTGAAAATAACCAACAGAAATCACCCGTACTGAAATAATGAGATCTTTAAAAGCTTAAAGACTCTATTGTTATTTTATGCTTTTAATGTTGATCCACTGTGCCAAACAATAATAATAGTCCATTTTTATGGCTCTGGACGACATGAACCAAATATTCTGTTGATGAAACGTGTGGTATAACTGAGCCAATTTGATAAAAATGTCTAAAGTTTTATCACCAAGTGTTATGTTTCTATATGAACAGCTTCTATTGATTTTAGTTCATGTTACATGTCTGGATTTGCGGAAGTTGAATATTATGATGAATATTATTATATCATGATATTTGATAAATTATTGTTTAAGTTTATGTAGGAATTTATGGAATTATGTTTATGTTGTGGCATAGTCTTTGATGTGTTTTGATTGTTAATTGAAAGTTTCAATAGTATAATGACATCTTCCATCTTTCAGCGCCTGCTACTTGAGAACATACAACGAATGGACGACCATGACTCAAGCCAACTTCCACTCAGTCCAGATGGGAAATTCCTTATTCTGTCCAATCCTGACCAATCACAGGTCGGCCAGATGTCATCTGACCCAAACCCACCAATCACCCAGCCCTCTGGTGAAGGAGAAGCTGAAGTTGAGGGAGCCGAGTCAGAAGCATGAACAACCACGGCCACCTTGATTGGCTAACGTATGCAGCCATGTTGTAATTTGATCTATTTGAACAAGATATCATTCTGTGATAGAGACAGTATTGGATGCTGACAATGTAACGAATCGACACTATATTGAAATGATAAGGCAACACATCAAGTTACAAATCTTTTCCATTTTCTCTAAGTACATTATGTTTAGATCCTTATTAACTTCCGGCTGTTTTAAGGGGTTAGAACCTAATGGTAGCCTCCTAGCCCAGAATTTAATTAAAATCAGATCTTTAATCCGATATGATACCTCTCTGTCTGAAGGTCTGAGAACCCCGCCGTAGAAGGTCGCATCAGGTGGACCAAGTGTGAACTTTGACTGCCCAATCTAAATAAAGGATGCATGGGTTCTGGAGTCAGTCAGATGTCTTTTCTGAATCAGCTTCATTGCTTTATTGCCTCAGTTTGATAATTTCAGTTGTATCAAAAGAAAGCCCACTGAGAACACATGTAGATGCCATGGGATTGAGAAACAGCAGGGTGTGTAGCATATCCTATATTATTTACATTTGGCACTGCTTGTTTGAAATTTTTTTGAGATACAGAAATCTGATATGCTGATCTGAGGGCTTTGCTCACCCATACTGAAAATTCAGAAGTTTTTGCTGATTGTCTGATGGGCAGGCTCATCAGATACATCCTTCTATTTTCAGAGTAAGTGAGTGAGTTGGGTTTAACACTGCTTTTAACATTATTCCAGTTATATCACGGCGTTCTATTTTCAGATCTTCATTTAGTGAGGTATATCTAGTGAGCTGGAATATTACCTGGCTTGTTTTCATTTTAAAATGCATACTGTATTAAGTCAGTGTTCGTCACAATAAAGAACAGAAAACTCATATTATCAGTTTTCAGTGAAGAAAGTAACAAAACAAATGGCAAGATCATGTTCATGAGGGCTAGGAAATGATTCTGACTACTGACCCATATGGCTAATGAAGCTGTGTACTTCTTTCTGAAGCTGTTTTATTATTAATGGTGTGTATTGTTGCCTACCACACTTACAAACTGTTTCCCTATCATGTATTAGAAGCTTTGTGTTGAAGACTAACTTTACACCACCATCACTGATATGTGGTTCTGTTGATAACACTATGATACTTTCGTTATCAGATTTTAGTGTGTTTTGCGTCAGCGATCCAGTCGAGAAACGATGACATCTGACAAGAATAGTTCGACAACTTAAGCATCAACCATTAAATTTTCTATGCAGGAAACAATACAATTAAACTGTGGATAAAATTTGGATCATTTGATGAATGTAAACAAACATTCTCTACCTTATGATAGGTAAGTTTGTTTCAGCTTAATTCCAGCTATATTATAGTGGCCTACTGACAGTCAAGTCTAGGCCAGACAGACTATAGGTTAATAGCAAGATTAACTTCTCTCGCCTTTTTGGTGTGAGACAGTCACCCAAGGCACAGGGCATAGCCAACTGATCCCCAAAGCACAGAATCTAGCCATGTGGTCCCCAAAGCACTGAGGTCTAGCCATGTGGTCCCTAAAGCACAGAGGTCTAGCAATGTGGTCCCCATAGCACAGAGGTCTAGCGATGTGGTCCCCAAAGCACAGAGGTCTAGCCATGTGGTCCCCAAAGCACAGAGGTCTAGCCACGTGGTCCCCAAAGCACAGAGGTCTAGCCACGTGGTCCCAAAAGCACAGAGGTCTAGCCATGTGGTCCCAAAAGCACAGAGGTCTAGCCATGTGGTCCCCAAAGCACAGAGGTCTAGCCATGCGGTCCCCAAAGCACAGAGGTCTAGCCATGTGGTCCCCAAAGCACCGAGGTCTAGCCACCTGAACCCAAAGCACAGAGCCTAGCCACCTGATCCCCATGTTAATCAGCTCTTGTGACGAACATGGGCCCTGGAGAACTTTACTGACTCAGAATACTGAAAAGTTCATGACAGATACAGATACATTCGAATATGAGTTCAAAGAATGACCGAAACTTGAAGAAGATACAATGGTTGATCACTTAACTTGTGGAAGAGTTACCACGATTACTGTATTTGTTTCTGTATTGTATTAATGAACCACATACCGTATTTGACGTAATAAGCACCCTGCTCGAATAAGCGCCCATGGCGATATTTCTTAATATATTGGCTAGTGAACCATCCCAATTAGCACCCTTCCAATTGATCAATTTACAAAAGACTTATTTATTTGCATATAAGACACACTCGTGTGTTATATGCATCCTTAATTATGGGCAGTTAAATTCTGGAAAAATGAATATGTCATATATAAACATTTCAGGTTGTCAGCATAAACCACGAAATTTATCTTTCAACTCTGTTTTTTTCACCAAAATATTATCATAATAAGAGCCCCCTATATCTAATTTTGAGAGCGCCCTGGGCGCTTGTTACGTTGAATACGTCAGTACTAATATCTTATATGTAAGTTAAATAATAGTTGTATTAATAATGACTGTGATAGATGTTGTTAGAGTTTCTAAATTGTATTTCTGACTTTGAAACAAAATCAAAAGGTGCAACTTTTAGAAAAGAATTGATTAAAATTCACGCAGAGAAGTAACTTTTGTATGAATATGTACATACCATTTTAAGAAAACCATTTCTAATGCTCAAAACATTGACAAGGTTGCGAAAGTGAGGCCAATTTACCGTTTATTGGGAGTTGTCTCCCCTTGATATTTTCGCATGATGTATGTTTTTGACACCACGTTTTGGTTCTCATGAACCGGATCTATAGCAATCAACCAAGATTTATGCAAGACATGGAACAAATTAAACATTGTACTTTTGTTTGTGTTTCACAAGGTCACTTAAGTGTTGTCACTGGGAATTTGAAAACTCGTACAGTATTACATTTGTCATAATCATAGCATGCCCAGAGTGAGTAGTTTGAGAAACAACAATCAAATATTTTAGAATTATTTACAGTGAATATTTTAAGTCTTAGGTTCGACAGCTGGAACCTTTGTACAGTTGATGTGTAGATACAGGTTTTGAAATTTTGATGCAATATATCATTATTAAATTGAGAATGGACGGAAGCACTAGTCAAAATGTATTTCAAATTAGATAACATGTTGATGAACAGAGGCGGATCCAGGATTTTGAAAAACCGGTGTGCACGTTATGCCGAAATTACGAAATGCGCAGTTAAGGTGTCTGAAAAAAGGAGATGCGCACCTCTGCACCCCTCCTCTGGATCCGCCAGAAGATATTCTCAACACCAGATGCATGATATGATTAGTATATGAGAAATATGTCAGTTATATTCTGTAAACTTACAGAGATGTTATATGCATTTATGAATTTATGACACTTGTTTGTGTAAGTGGTTTATGACAATGTTAAAAAGGATGGGATGTTTTCTATGAATCTTTACTCTAGACTGATTGATTTTTTATATATGTGTATATGTTGAATTTCAAAAATTGTAAAATATTTAGTTAATGAACTTGTTGAGAAAGTACTGCACAACTGAACCGACTTGTAGTGTATGTATTCATATGCTGTGTGTATGTATATATGTAGAATGTGATATAGAAATATATACCTACCTTCTGTTGACTGCTGTAGTGTACGAAAGCGAGCAGCAGCATTGTATATTCTTGTGTTGTAGTGTTGGTGTGTGTTTGCAATAGTTGTTATTTATTAACGAAGTAGTTACTACATGGCAATTTTTAACTGCAGATTTTTCTGTTTTATGATGGACTTGTTTAGTTGTTTATTTCTGCCTTGATCAGTTTTGCGTTTACTTCCATTGGTGAGATGTCGGTTGAAGTGCATGAAGTAGAGAGATTATGATATGGAAGGTATATAAGACTATAATATGATAGATAGTGTTATCTAAGCGATAAACCAATCCCAAAAATCTTGGTATCACGATACAATGAATATGCAAATGAGGTCATCACAAAGGAACTACTTTTAATCGCCATACATTGATTACATTAAACCCTGGCACAGTGGTAACTTAACAGATCACCATGGCCACAGGTTAATTTGCATATCTTGTGACCAGGCTTTTTTCTTGCTTGTAAACAAACTCGCTTTTTCAGAAATCAGAATAGAACGGACTAATGCAAATATTTGGGGGCGCTTTACATATTGTTTTGCATAATTATATAGATATGCTACTACAACTGCGACAGTGAGGTGCATGACAATATATCTTTATATATCAAAGTGACCGTATCACCAGCTCTCCATATGGCTTCTATGACAGCACATGGAGCCGTACAACAATGTAAACATAGGATAATTATGCAAATGGAAATAGTTCTTCACGATTTAGGATATTTTCACAATAAAGTTAACCATTCTATGACATATGTTTATCTAGATATGTAGACGTGTCAAAAATGAAACAGATGAAAAATATATGCAGCATCTTGAATGGACTGTGTAAGATGTGACGAATCGTCACATGGCGCTGGTCTGTGGCAGAGGGACTATGCTGGTCGCATGGAACTCTGGGTAGGAGAGTGTGATAACATCTGCATGCTCAGTATACTACTGATGAATGATGCCAATAAGTTTAAGTGTTTTCCGATGTGTGGGTGATTATGTAAACAAACATGCCTGCAAGTCATTTGGCACTATATCACCCAGACACAATTCATACCAAGTTTAAATAGCTACTTCATTGAGGAAACTTAAAAATCCATTAATTTAAGACTTACATTGTATGACACAGATGTTATTACCATTGTGTGTTTATCATAAATATCATTATACTTGCCAAATGCTCACATAATCCAATTTTAATTCCTAATGATATTTATGATATTGAAATGCCCTCAGCTAATAACATCTATATATCAGCTTAATTATAGCCTGTTACCTCATCTAGTGTGTTTAACCTGTGAACAGTGTGGTACCTTTATAAAGTTTTTAAAAAAAAGAAGCAAAATAATATAAAAAAGTGGCTATCAGGTATACTTCAACAAATCTGAAAATGCTCCCTATACCAAGGTGATGTGAATATTTCAGATAATACACCTATTCTATCTATAGTATGTATGTCATGGAGAATAGGGACTGATAGATTTGCATTTGGGTGAAATGTGTTGCATTAAACTGCAGCAGTATTACTTCATATAGAAGAAAAAGTGACAATTGACTTAAATAGCATGTATCTTTTCAAGTGAAATTAGAATGTGATGTCTGGTAGTTATTTTGAATATAGAGGGTTGGGTTCTTCACGATGAGAAACACATGAGTAGACTGTGGATCTGTGTCAATATATACCTGGTACTCTGGATACCAGTGCCTAGCTGTTAGGAGACATGTATTATTAAAGGAAGATAACTCTATTGACCTGATTTGCTTATCTGGCAATTTCTCTCAGAACAGTACCGTCCCGATTATCAGGGCTTCACTGTACATTTGTTACTAAGTTTTGATATGGAGCTGTCCGCTCTTGACCTTATTGCTGGGTGACTATTTTCATCTGCTCATGTCCACGTCTTGCCAGGAATCAGTCTTGAGTGAAACATGACAGGCTAGATAACAGTGTTAAAACCTACACCGAAACGGCGCTCTTAATTGTAATAAAGAAGTTGTTAATCCATTAAATCTTATCCTTACTTATGACAGACTTTATTGAGAAAATATTTTTTTAAGGTAATGACAAGTGGGGATAGAGAAAATCTCATAAAATAACTTAAAATAAGGCATTTTGCACACAATATGTGTAAGTGCAATAGGTTTCAGTTGTCTTGATGATGAGGCAGATGTAACTAACGCTATACACATAGCAATCATTTTGATTTTCCACCTACCGACCATGATGTTTTACAAAAAATGTTTTGATCAAGGCATTAAAAAAAGCCTGGAGTTTGAGGTTTAAAATTGTTTTCTGACTCAGTTTGCATCCACTCAAGTGTCCATCCGTCTTTCCATCCAACTATTTCTTTCAGGGGCATAAACCAAAACATTAACTCCCACATGTTATACTTTTTGATGGAATCAAGATGGACTTGCACTAACTGCAGGACTGCTATACCATGGAATATTCTTTTGCAAATTTAGCACACGTATCATGGTAGTATTTTGAATATTTTACATTTGTTTGTCATTTCAATGGAAACAATGTAAAAGACACGTGGAGATACCGAATGTGAAAGGGAGTAATTGTTACATGCTTTAAATTAATGTGACAGGGATCACTAATTTCAAGAAACGACTTACCGACAGCTTGTATTTTTTGTTAGAGCGTATGACCCGGCGTGTATGTGTCTAATATACTGCTGTTGTGCA